GTTCTAGTTCAGTTCTAGTTCAGTTCTAGTTCAGTTCTAGTTCAGTTCTAGTTCAGTTCTAGTTCAGTTCTAGTTCAGTTCTAGTTCAGTTCTAGTTCAGTTCTAGTTCAGTTCTAGTTCAGTTCTAGTTCAGTTCTAGTTCAGTTCTAGTTCAGTTCTAGTTCAGTTCTAGTTCAGTTCTAGTTCAGTTCTAGTTCAGTTCTAGTTCAGTTCTAGTTCAGTTCTAGTTCAGTCAGTTCTAGTTCAGTTCTAGTTCAGTTCTAGTTCAGTTCTAGTTCAGTTCTAGTTCAGTTCTAGTTCAGTTCTAGTTCAGTTCTAGTTCAGTTCTAGTTCAGTTCTAGTTCAGTTCTAGTTCAGTTCTAGTTCAGTTCAGTTCTAGTTCAGTTCTAGTTCTAGTTCAGTTCTAGTTCAGTTCTAGTTCAGTTCTAGTTCAGTTCTAGTTCAGTTCTAGTTCAGTTCTAGTTCAGTTCTAGTTCAGTTCTAGTTCAGTTCTAGTTCAAGTTCTAGTTCAGTTCTAGTTCAGTTTCTAGTTCAGTTCTAGTTCAGTTCTAGTTCAGTTCTAGTTCAGTTCTAGTTCAGTTCTAGTTCAGTTCTAGTTCAGTTCTAGTTCAGTTCTAGTTCAGTTCTAGTTCAGTTCTAGTTCAGTTCTAGTTCAGTTCTAGTTCAGTTCTAGTTCAGTTCTAGTTCAGTTCTAGTTCAGTTCTAGTTCAGTTCTAGTTCAGTTCTAGTTCAGTTCTAGTTCAGTTCTAGTTCAGTTCTAGTTCAGTTCTAGTTCAGTTCTAGTAGTTCTAGTTCAGTTCTAGTTCAGTTCTAGTTCAGTTCTAGTTCAGTTCTAGTTCAGTTCTAGTTCAAGTTCTAGTTCAGTTCTAGTTCAGTTCTAGTTCAGTTCTAGTTCAGTTCTAGTTCAGTTCTAGTTCAGTTCTAGTTCAGTTCTAGTTCAGTTCTAGTTCAGTTCTAGTTCAGTTCTAGTTCAGTTCTAGTTCAGTTCTAGTTCAGTTCTAGTTCAGTTCTAGTTCAGTTCTAGTTCAGTTCTAGTTCAGTTCTAGTTCAGTTCTAGTTCAGTTCTAGTTCAGTTCTAGTTCAGTTCTAGTTCAGTTCTAGTTCAGTTCTAGTTCAGTTCTAGTTCAGTTCTAGTTCAGTTCTAGTTCAGTTCTAGTTCAGTTCTAGTTCAGTTCTAGTTCAGTTCTAGTTCAGTTCTAGTTCAGTTCTAGTTCAGTTCTAGTTCAGTTCTAGTTCAGTTCTAGTTCAGTTCTAGTTCAGTTCTAGTTCAGTTCTAGTTCAGTTCTAGTTCTAGTTCAGTTCTAGTTCAGTTCTAGTTCAGTTCTAGTTCCAGTTCTAGTTCAGTTTTCTAGTTCAGTTCTATTCAGTTCTAGTTTCAGTTCTAGTTTCAGTTCTAGTTCAGTTCTAGTTCATTCTAGTTCAGTTCTAGTTCAGTTCTAGTTCAGTTTCTAGTTCAGTTCTAGTTACGTTCTAGTTCCAGTTCTTCGCTTCAGTTCTAGTTTCAGTTCTAGTTCAGTTCTAGTTCAGTTCTAGTTCAGTTCTAGTTCAGTTCTAGTTCAGTTCTAGTTCAAGTTCTAGTTTCAGTTCTAGTTCAGTTCTAGTTCAGTTCTAGTTCAGTTCTAGTTCAGTTCTAGTTCAGTTCTAGTTCAGTTCTAGTTCAGTTTTTCTAGTTCAGTTCTAGTTTCAGTTCTAGTTCAGTTCTCGTTCAGTTCTAGTTCAGTTCTAAGTTCAGTTTCTAGCTAGTTCAGTTCTAGCTAGTTCAGTTCTAATTTAGTTCCAATTCAGTTCTAATTCAGTTCTAGTTCAGTTCTGGTTTTTAACAAAATTTTCTTGGTAGTCAATATTTTCGCAATGATAAACGAATACAATCACTGTTACATTTTTTCAGAGCTTTGATATTTCTCAAGTTCTCAAAATAAGATACCTCCATAATGTTCCAACAACTGCGTAAGTGTGTGTATGCGTTGTATGCATATATACATTGATCCTTTATGAATTTATTATTTCGAGTATTTATTTAAACATTTATTTTATCTATATAATTTATTTAATTTTCATTGAGTTTTGTTATTTTGTATTTATTTTAAATGTGCATTTAATTGAATATTTATTGTAAATTGTGTATTTATTTATGGAGTTTCAGTCATTATTATACATATGTTTTAAATGTTTGTCAATGCAATACCATTAGTTATTAAACAAACAAATAATAACTCATAAATCGATTTTCATTTTTTCTGAAAACTATTTCTGTTCAATCTATTAAACTACTGAGAAAAATATGTAAATATGAAATATAAAATATTTCTTGTAAAATTAATAAAATTGTCTATTCTTGTGGAATGCACTTATAATAACTTTAGTTAAAATTATTTATAATGAAACAATAATTATAATTAATTAATAAATTTTTATGAGAAATTTAAATTTCACATTTAATTATCTTTTCAATAATCAAAATTTATTAATAAATGCTTAATTTGATTATATTTTTTAGACTAAGCCTTTATTTATGTTATTATGGATATACATATAGTCCATATTACCCTCCATATCATATTTATCTTTTAATAGGATTTCTCTTTCAGTTTATTATTCACAGGTTTTGTTTGTTTTTAATTTTAAACCATATTATTTTATATGTATATTATAACTATTTTAAGCTCTATTGTTTCAGGTCATAATTAAAATATTCTTTTGTTTATTAATACGTATTTCCTTTTTTATTGTTAAGCATTATAAATAAACAAAGCAAAATATTCCCTCAAAAGGGTGTCATTGGATTTTAATGCAACACTGAGTAAAAATTTTGAGATTTTAGCTCTTATATAAATCACAAAGAGAAACTTATAAAAAATTTGAATTTGCCGAAAATTTTCAAAAAGGAAAGTTTTTTAACAGAGATTTAGTCGCAATTTTTTTATAGAAAGATGAATTTTTTAAATTTTTTTAGAGAAAATTTATTGAAAATATTTAATAAATTTTCTTCTAAAAAAATTATTAAAAATTTTAGAGAATGAAATTTATAGAGAATTTTCTATAAAAAGTAAAAAATTTTCGAAAATTGTGTATAAAGATAAAATTTATCGAAAATTTTCTATAAAAGAAAAATTTTCTATAAAAGGAAAATTTATTGAAATTTTTCTATAAAAGGAAAATTTATTGAAAATTTTCTACAAAAGGAAAATTTGTTGAAAATTTTCTATAAAAGGAAAATTTGTTGAAAATTTTCTATAAAAGGAAAATTTATTGAAAATTTTCTGTAAAAGGAAAATTTATTGAAAATTTTCTATAAAAGGTAAATTTATTGAGAATTTTCTATAAAAGGAAAATTTTTGAAAATTTTCTATAAAAGGAAAATTTATTGAAAATTTTCTATAAAAAGACAATTTATTGAAAATTTTCTATAAAAGGATAATTTATTGAAAATTTTCTAATCAAGGAAAATTTATTGAAAATTTTCTATAAAACGAAAATTTGTTGAAAATTTTCTATAAAATGAAAATTTGTTGAAAATTTTCTATTAAAAGAAAATTTATTGAAAATTTTCTATTAAAAGAAAATTTATTGAAAATTTTCTATTAAAAGAAAATTTATTGAAAATTTTCTATTAAAAGAAAATTTATTGAAAATTTTCTATTAAAAGAAAATTTATTGAAAATTTTCTATTAAAAGAAAATTTATTGAAAATTTTCTATTAAAAGAAAATTTATTGAAAATTTTCTATTAAAAGAAAATTTATTGAAAATTTTCTATTAAAAGAAAATTTCTTATAAAAAGAATTGAAAATTTCTATAAAAAGAAAATTTATTGAAAATTTTCTACAATAACAAAATTTATTGAAAATTTTCTATAAAATGAAAATTTTCTATAAAATGAAAATTTATGAAAATTTTCTATAAAATGAAAATTTATGAAAATTTTCTATAAAAAGAAAATTTATTGAAAATTTTCTATAAAAAGAAAATTTATTGAAAATTTTCTATAAAAAGAAAATTTATTGAAAATTTTCTATAAAAAGAAAATTTTCTATAAAAGGAAAATTTTCTATAAAAAGTTTTATTTAAAATTTTTTGTAAAAATAAAATTTATAAAAAGTTTTATACAAAAAAAGAAAATTTATTGAAAGCTTTCTATAAAAGAAAAATTTATTGAAAATTTTCTATAAAAAGAAAATTTATTGAAATTTTTTTTGTGAAAAGAAAATTTATTGCAAATTTTTTATAAAAAAAAGAAAATTTATTGAAAATTTTCTATAAAAGGAAAATTTATTGAAAATTTTCTATAAAAAAAAATATTAAAAATTTTCTATTCAATAAATTTTTTCTTAAAAAAATCTTCAATTTTGAAAATGTGAGTTCTTTTCATTTTTTTGAAAGAAATCGTTAATGAATTAGTGAACTATTCCAAGTGATAATTATTACTAAATCTTTATTACTAAATCTTTTATAGAACTATATCCCATAAATATACTGAAAGCTTTATTAATAATAAATTTATAGCATTAGCTCAACAATATCGCAAATATTATAATTAGGCTAAAATACCCAAACAAAAAGAGCTTCCAGAACATAAATATGAAATTTAGCCTTTAATAGATTATTTTTGTTTATACACTTTCACACTTGTTTCTGTACAAAAAAAATACACACAAACTTATAAAATACACAGTGAAAATATTAAAAATACTCATTCACTGTACAAATAATGATAAAAACCAACGAAATAAATATGAGGCACTGGTGCGTATGAATGATTTCAACACAAAAACACACGTATACGTGAAAACATCAAATAAATTTAAAATTGTATTCTCGTTTTTTGAGGGAGTTAGTGTATGTATATGAAAAGTTATTTTTATTTTAAAAACTCATATTAAAAACATGTCGTTAATATTAAGGTTATAAGCAAATAATAATATTAAAATATTATTCACTCAAGTATTGATTTTGTTTGTTTATTTCTTAAGGGAATTGAAAATACATTAAGAAAAAACTTACCGGAAATAAACACCTGGTGTACGTTGATCAATATCGGTGGCATAAATACGACCAACACGACATTTCGAAAAGAAAATACCAATAAAAGAGGGATCATTTTTCTTGGGCCAATCTTTAACAGGAAATACCAAAGGATAGGTATAGTATTCGGGAGGATCCGAAAATTCCAAATAACCATTAAGAGAAACCTGAACAGTAGACAATATAAAAGGTTAAATAAACAAAAATATTTCTTCATACTTACCCTGGTGTAGTTAAAACGGAAACCAAAGAAGGGCAATTGGAAATTTAAATTCTTGTGAACTTGTGTTGTGGAAGCATGTATATCAAATTGATAATCACCACGACCACCATATAAATCCTTATCGAAATACCAGTACATGAAATAAGAGCGTATCTCAGCCAAACGTTGTGGTGTTATGACATAACCATTTGTCAACGAATGGGAGGGCATGGTGGGTGGTGCGACAGGATTATTGGGATCTAAAAGAAATTTCATTTTGATTAATATTCATATTTTATTGTGTGTAAAATAAAATCATATTTTAAATTATACTTAATTTTTATCCAATTTATTTTATTTAATAGCTTAGAATTGAAATTATTATTTTATTTTTTTGGTTTTTTATTATACTTGATCTATTTGAACTTAATGTAAGCATGAGATATTTATCTACATACTATAACATATATTTTGAATTTCCCTTGAAATTACTTCATATAATTATAGAAAGAAAATTTTTATTACTCAGGAACAGTATGTTAGATTTTGTGAGATTCTATACAATTACTGCCTTATTCATAACAATTTATCAAAATTTGTATGCAAATTTATCCTATAAACCTTTGATAAATTGTTGTGAATAAGGACTTTACTCTGAAATGATATTCTGCTTTAAAATTTATTAAATTACTTGGAAATGTAAAATTAGAATAGAATTTAATTTGTATGATATAAGCAAAATACGAACTTTGGAAGTGCATCAGAAGCAATGAATTTATTCTGTTGTTTGCTTTTCAAAGAATTCAAGAGAATTACTTTGTTCTGTTATTTTATAGTTTAAATAGTTTTTATGTTGTTACATATACGTTAAGTAATACAAGTGTGTTATATCCTCCATAAAAAAAATATGGGTGGTATATTGATTTTGTCATTCTATTCTGAGAAATTCTTCAATCAGACAAAAAAATGCGCAGCAATATCATTTCGGTATTCAAAAAATAAACATTTTTAAATTTGCAGTTTTTGTATTTATTTCATATGAGAGATTCAACGCCAGGATTATAGCTCTAATAGATTACCATTTATACGAATTATAGTATTTATCTCATAAGGCAGGTCCCCGCCCCTAATTACTCAAGTGTTCAGAGTTTTTCGTGCAAAATTTGAGAATTCAAACTCTAATAGTTTCCCAGATATGCAAATGTTTGTATTTAACTCATATGAGAGGTACCACGCCCCCTATTGCTAGTCCACAAATTTAGCACCCAAATGTTAACATGTATGTCAAAGTTCTTTGTGCAAAGTTTGGGAATTATAGCTCCAATATGTTCCCAGATATAAGGAGTTTTGTCTTTAATTCATATGGGAGGTGCCACACCCCTATTTTTAGCCCGGAAATTATCCCCCAAGTTATTCATATGGATTTTAATGTTGACCGTGGGAAATTTGAGTATTCTAGCTGTGATAGTTTCCCAGACATACGATTTTTTTATTTAATTCATGAGGGGGGCTACCAAGCTCCCCTATTTTTATTCCCCCCATTCTGTCTTAAACAATCATAATGATACTAAAATGGCTCCGTTAGAATTATTACTGTTATATTTTCTCAGATGTACTGACTTAATATTTTCTTTAAATGGGAGGTACCACGCCCCCTACAGCCAGTCCGCAAATTTTGTCCCTAAATATTCACATGAATGTCAAAATTGTTCATATAAAATTAAATGACTCTAGCTGTTGCAGTTTCTCAGATATGCTAATTTTATTATCTATTTTGTATGTGGGCGTGGCATCTCGCCTACTTGAAATTTCGAAATAAAAAGTAGACTTCTGTGAAAATTTCAATAAAATCGCTCCAGACTTTTAGGAGTCTTTAGACTTCAAACACACCCACAACTAAACAAACAAATATTTGTATCCGCTGCTATCAAAAAACTGATGTAAAAACTGAAATTCGAAAATCTTTTAAGCTATAAGAGATAATCGATTTATAGTGCTTAATAAGGAGATTTTATACATACAATCGGAACACATGGGATCCTTTTAAAAATTTAAGATACCAGAGGTATGAGCACCTCTGATTTCGCTTCTGATGGGCCCATAACAAACACTTCCGCATGATAAATTTCATTAGAATTGAACTAAGCGTTTAGTAGTATATCAGTATACCAATCGGCTCAGAATCACTTTCTGAGTCGATTTAGCTATGTCCGTCAGTCTGTCCGTCCCTCCGTCCATCCGTCCGTATGTCTGTCTGTCTGTCATGTGTGTTCATGTAAACCTTATGCGCACGCTAGGGGTCTCAATTTTTCAAGATTATTTGATGAAATTTAATACATACATTTCTCTTATTAAAATCGGCCCATTATTTCACCTAATAATAATAATCTTTAATACCAAAATACACAGAAATATATATACTTTTTAATTTTTTTTTATTATTTTCTTAAATACATATGCATGCAAAATAAAGTTAAACTTTAGTTTATATTTAAAGAACTAAGTTCTATAATAAATACAAAAATATAATAATATTCTTATAGTCTGTAATTTAAAACTTATCTTACATTTGTTTACAACAACTACAATACAATGTAAAATAGAGGAAAAAATACAAAAGAACCTTTAAGGTAAATGGAAAAACAAAGCTTAAATTATACTTAAGAACTAAATAAAAGAAAATAAGAACTACTCCCTTTTAACCTGTTAAAGCAAAAGGTATGACCATGATGGTCATATCTTTCTTGTGGTTTCCTCTAATAACCTAACACTCCATTTTAATGCGACGTTCATATTCGGCTACACGTAATTTAACGGGCATTACCAAGCTTAAATCTTCCATAACTGTGTGCATTTGTGGTTTTGTGCCATTGGAACCAGCATTTGAGTTTTGGCGCAAAGTGGGTCGTCTTGTTTTATCTACCGATGTTCTGCGGCGCAAAGTACTTTTACGCTGTGTAGTATTGGATGAATATTGTACAGTGCTAGATGTTGAAGATGATGATGAAGATGAAGAGGCCAGTGATGAGTTGGATGATGTTGTTGTATAAATGATGGCAGGTGCTGCTTGTGAAAACTGTATGCTGGGTGTATAATCTTCATGCTGTAAATTCATTTCTAATTGTGCTGACCATCTTTTGGGTTTTAGAGGAGTGGGTAAGGGTGTATTTTGGGCACTACTGCTATGTTGTATAGTAGCTACATTAATTGGTTTGGTATTTTTTAAAAGATCTATAAATGAGTTGGAGCGAGGCGAAGTAAGTTTGTTGAAGAAACAAATACGATCCTTAACCGACCGATTGGGATCTTCTTGTTCACACATGGAGTCAGCATCAAATGTTGTGTTCATTTCTTGGGGATTTTTAAAGTAAGCATCAAATGTACTGTTTGCTGGGTTACTGGTAACACTCGCAGTCATGTTAATTTTTTCATAAGCTGCCGCATTGATGAGAGGTTTTTGCATCTGCACATTTGAGGGAGTTTGGCAAATGAAAGAATTTTGCTGGTTTACTTTGCTAGCGGGTGTATTAAAACCAAAATATTGCATTGCTTTTTCAGCTGCGGCTGGCTCTGGTGATGTTTCCAAAGAGCCTGAATTACGTTTTGACATTTGTAAAGCCTTCTCTCTTATTTCGCTTGACCAACTTTTACGTCCGGCATGATGTTGAGGTTTTAATTGCAGTGCTTTTTTATTGTCGACATCATCCATTGGCAAATGATTGGCGGTTTGTGGATTTTCCTCATCGGAACTTGCTGATGAACGCTTTGACATTTCCAATGCTTTTTCTCTTAATTCATGCGACCATCTCTTTTGAGTGGCATGTAATTTTGGTCGTAATTGCAGTTCAGCTGATTTGGCATCTGCTTGCTGTGCTCCCTTCAACAGACCACCGGGATAAATGGATTTGGGGGTTTCATTGGGAACAGCCAGGTAGTTTACAGCTGTTGGCGTTGCCATTATTTGATTTTCGTTAACAGCACTTTTTGGCGTTGAAGTCATCCATGAGAATTGAGGAGTACTAGTGGTACTATTTTGTACAGCGAACGCTCTTGGTGGTTTTGGTGGCGGTATTGACATGTCAATGTCATCGACATCCATGCCACTATCATTGCCTTCACATCTATGTGTTGCCATATTGTAAGAGTAAAATTGAAAGTTGTATGCGGTTAAACTCATTTTTATTTCACTGCTCGTTTTGATTACTTTTGCACAATAGAAAAATAAATTGAAACTTTTTTGGTTGAGATTTTGTTTTCTTTTCGACACAATTGACTTGTTGTGGTCGTTGTCACAGTTGAAATGTGTTTAATGAATTGTTGCACAAAAAACTGTGTATTTATACTAGAGCAAAGTGATGACATGCATATGTCCTTATGCCCAAATGTAGAAACACACATGTCCTCCTTAATCCCTCCTCTACCTGCATAGTTTGCTATCCTGTTTTTTAATCCTGAATATAATTTTTTGGCACACTTTGTTGTAATTTTTTAATGCTTGTTTATCTTTATACCTGTTGTTTTAGTGTAAAAATGCACGTACACACAAATTGTCAATGATTGTATTTTCTCTATGTATCGTGTAAATCTCTACTCCTTAATTATCCTGTTTAACATGTTACATTTTTAAGCGATTAACGAGGGCTCATAAAAAGACTGTTAACTCACATTGTTTCTAAAAATTTTAAAGTGATTTTAAGCAATCTACTTTGCAAACAGCTGTGTATTTGATACAAATATTTAACAAATTTTATTTAAAATAATGCTCTATGACTTTCTTTATAATTTTAGGGAGTTTGGTAATATTTGGAGATTTTCAAAGAGGCAATTTTTTAATCTGGAAATTTATTTCATTAAAAGTTTCCAATGACATTTTACTTAACTTCATGTAATTAGTTAAGTTATTTGTACTAAATCCATGTATGTACTAAGACGATTGAATGGAAAATACGTTAAAAATGTTTTTAAAGTATTACTTTACTTAAATTTGTAAGTGTTTCCTAACTAACTAACTAACTAACTAACTAACTAACTAACTAACTAACTAACTAACTAACTAACTAACTACTAACTAACTAACTAACTAACTAACTAACTAACTAACTAACTACTAACTAACTAACTAACTAACTAACTAACTAACTAACTAACTAACTAACTAACTAACTAACTAACTAACTACTAACTAACTAACTAACTAACTAACTAACTAACTAACTAACTAACTAACTAACTAACTAACTACTAACTAACTAACTAACTAACTAACTAACTAACTAACTAACTAACTAACTAACTAACTAACTAACTAACTAACTAACTACTAACTAACTAACTAACTAACTAACTAACTAACTAACTAACTAACTAACTAACTAACTAACTAACTAACTAACTAACTAACTAACTAACTAACTAACTAACTAACTAACTAACTAACTAACTAACTAACTAACTAACTAACTAACTAACTAACTAACTAACTAACTAACTAACTAACTAACTAACTAACTAACTACTAACTAACTAACTAACTAACTACTAACTAACTAACTAACTAACTAACTAACTAACTAACTAACTAACTAACTAACTAACTAACTAACTAACTAACTAACTAACTAACTAACTAACTAACTACTAACTAACTAACTAACTAACTAACTAACTAACTAACTAACTAACTAACTAACTAACTAACTACTAACTAACTAACTACTAACTAACTAACTAACTAACTAACTAACTAACTAACTAACTAACTAACTAACTAACTAACTACTAACTAACTAACTAACTAACTAACTAACTAACTAACTAACTAACTAACTAACTAACTACTAACTAACTAACTAACTAACTAACTACTAACTAACTAACTACTAACTAACTAACTAACTAACTAACTAACTAACTAACTACTAACTAACTAACTAACTAACTAACTAACTAACTAACTAACTAACTAACTAACTAACTAACTACTAACTAACTAACTAACTAACTACTAACTAACTAACTAACTAACTAACTAACTAACTAACTAACTAACTAACTAACTAACTACTAACTAACTAACTAACTAACTAACTAACTAACTAACTAACTAACTAACTAACTAACTAACTAACTAACTAACTAACTAACTAACTAACTAACTAACTAACTAACTAACTAACTAACTAACTAACTAACTAACTAACTAACTAACTAACTAACTAACTACTACTAACTAACTAACGAACTAACTAACGAACTAACGAACTAACTAACTAACTAACTAACTAACTAACTAACTAACCAACTAACTAACTAACTAACTAACTAACTAACTAACTAACTAACTAACTAACTAACTAACTAACTAACCAACTAACTAACCAACTAACTAACTAACTAACTAAGTAACTAACTAACTTACTACTAACTACTACTACTAACTAACTAACTAACTAACTAACTAACTAACTAACTAACTAACTACTAACTAACTCTAACTAACTAACTAACTAACTAACTAACTAACTTACTAACTAACTAACTAACATAGTCATACATAATTGTAAAAGTATGGTACTTTCTTGTACATAATTTTAAACTCTAACGGAAACAACAAATATCGAAACGGGTTACTGGAATATTCGCGAAAAAAAATTAAATATAAGTCCAAACATCTATGTTTTTTAAGCCAATTATAAAAATTTTAATACGTATTACTCTTTTAGCTCTTACCAAGGATACATAAGAAACTTGCCAGTTTCGATTACATAAATCAAAATCAGGCAAATCTATTGATCTAAAATGCAGGGTCAAGGGTTACTTTTTTATATACTAAGATAATCTTCTGAAAAGTTGGAAAATTTTAATAAAACTTCCGAAAAATATTATAAAGTAAAAGATGACTTTATAAGGATGTAGGGGCCATTATGGACCGATCCTGACAAAACTTGGAGCCTTATATGGGCGATATAATCATTTATAAACCGCTCCTTATCAAATTTGATAGAGATTTTTGTTATTAGAAAACTTTTTATGTCGAATTTTGTCCACTTACAACTATTACTTATTAAGCCAGTAATTTTTAGAGTATTTTTAAGCGCACTTTATATGAGGGTAGGTTCAATTATGGTCCGATGTCCGCCATGCATTACAGTATAATAATTGCTAAATAATTATCATATTAATGACTCTTTAAACTATATTCCGGGGTTCACTTATATGTCGGCTAGGTGTACTCGTGGACCAATATTGCTCATTTTCAATACCAAACAAATCTTATCAACATAAAATAACTGTGCAAAATTTCCTCCTCATAATTCATATTACGCACACTGTATGTGTATTTCCTACAATTAAAAATATATTTAAAAAATAAAAACCTTGAATTTAAAAATTTTTTTCCAAAAAAATAACAATTTTCACCATAATTATCTCATCAACGTTTTGGGAAATTCCTGGAAAATTATATCCGTTAAATTTCTCAAAAAACAATGACATTTTGACAAACTTAAAGGGAAAATTAAAAAAAAAATATTACAAAAGAATTTTGCAAAAATATGTAGCGTTTTAATTTCTTTGGTTTCTTTTTTTTACTTCTTATTAATCTAGAGGATTTAGAAAAGTTTTCAATTTGCAGCTGCCGGTTTTAGGTATAAAAGCATTTAAAATTTATTGTTCTTCCTTGGTTTCGCTCTATGTGTGTCTTGTGTGCTTAAAACGCTAAATGTTCGCTAATCTTTTTATGAATCAAAAAACATTTTTCTCCTAAAAGAGACAAACGAGCGAAAAGAAAAAACAAGCGGATTAGTCTACATTTAGAATACTAATCCTTTTTTGTCACATTTGTCATGTAACAAATCTCAAGTGTTTAAAATATAAGAGTAAGTATAGGTAAGACACGTGTGTGAGTGTTGGTGATGCCTGCACAATCTTAAGTAGGTGTCATAAAAACCCACTCTTTTTTTTTCCACAAACGCTGTCTCTGTATGTATGTGTGTGTGTTGAACGTAAAAAGGACTTTATTTATGTTGCACCTCTGACCAGGTACTCAAGTAGTGAATTATTATATTTGGGTTCTTCCCAAAACAAATTTCGTTCTATATCATTGTCTCACATTCTAATAAGTAGTATTTACTACTACAGAATACATTAACGATTTTTATGTTATTTAAATTATTATTTGTACTAGAATTACAGTTTATCCTTTCTTATACACTTTCTCTCCCTCTCTATCTTTCGTTCGTCCTTACAGTGTGCTTAAGTATGAATACGTGTAATTCATTCTTGTGTAGTTTAAGATTTCATTGTATTGCAATTGTACTTAAGTTGAAAATATTTATGTTGAATTTTCAGCTAAAGGTCGTTTGTATTGGGTTAAATTATGTCAAAGCCATATATTGTATACATATATAGGAGGGTAAACTGAAAAGTTCCTTAAATAAGTTTATTTCAATTACATGTATTTATGTTTATTATTTTAGCCACTGATAATTTTTAAGCAGTTACTTTTAATTCCCACCTCGTATGTATTGTGCTATTGCACTAGTAGAAGTTTGTTTTATCTTTAAGTCTGACTATGTTTGGAATTTTAAATATGCTTTTGACTACTTACTTATTTTCGAATCTCTTATGTTAGTTAGTGAATAATTGTATGCTTGTTGTAATTACTTAAACTCACGTTTTTGTGCGGATTAATGTGCCATATAATTAAATTTATGTAACATTCATAAATAATTTAAGATTTCGAAAGAGACATTTTCACAGAAAAGAATATTATTTACAGATTTACATACATAAGTATGTAACGCTTTTGTTAATATTTTTCAAATTTTTATTTAATACTCGTACTTGTTCCTTTTTAAATTCAAGGTTGAAATTAAATAATTTCATAGAAATTTTCATTATTATGTTATAGTATACGCACTACAGAGTTTTTGATTTTAAAATATAATTCATATTAAATGTAGTAGAAAAAAAATTAAATTCAAAATTTTATTAATGCCGAAAGGTATGCTACAATTTTGTGCTTAGTTTTAAATGTAACGGAAAACACTATATTGAAACAAGTTCTTGGAATATTCACGAAAAAATTAAATAAAAGAATGTTTTGCTTAAAATAAATTAACAAAATATTTTTATTCCCACCATCAAAAAAGATAGGGTATATTGATATTGTCATTCCGTTTGTAACACATCGAAATTTTGGTCAAAGACCCACTAAAATACATATATTCTGAGTCCTTATTAAATTCTATGGCGATCTAGCCATGTCTATCCGTCTATCTGTCTGTTGAAAGCACGATCGAGTCCGAACAGAACGAGGTAGAGGATTGAAATTTGCCACAAATATTCTCTATATGTAAGGTTTGTTTGTTATTTAAAATGGGCAGTATCGATCCACGTTTTCGGATAGCCCCCCATACAAGTGGAGCCTCGAAAAACAAACTTTAACGGGCATATCTGTTTTAAAAGTGTGATGAAATTCGACATAAATAAGTTTCATATGATCCAATATCTGCCTACCAAATTTTATGAGGATCGGTCCATTATTGGCCCTACCCCCCATATAAGGTCCCCTTCAGAAAATCTATTTAATGCTCTTAATGGCCTCCGGTAGGTTAGTGGTTAGTGTTCTAGACTGGTAGACCGGAGGTGGTGGGTTCGATTCCCACCTGAGGCACTGGTTAAGGAGCGCACAACAGGCCCGATAGAAGCCTAGGTGTATTTCTTCGGATTTGATGTATATACATCCTCTTTTCAAACTAACTAACTAACTAATGCTCTTAATGCTTTAAAAATACGAGTATAGTGATGAAATTCCATACACATAAGTTTGATTGGAGCCAAAATCTCTCTATGAAAAAAGTAAAGAAAAAATAAAAAAAATCGGTACAACGGAAAAATTCCGAATACTATTATAGTAAAACAAAAAATGTATTTAAGTACATATCTATGTGTATAACAATATTCTATATGTCATTTCCACAAATCAATTTATTTTCCGCAAATTACAAATATTTCTAATAATTTTTCCAGAATTTTATAAAATTGTGGTGTAAATATTCTTTGTTACAAATCATTATCAATTTTCTAAGAATTCTTAAATTCTTTTATTTGTTCTTATAAAAAAATAAATATATGAAATAAGCTATACACCTGTCATGATTCAAAATACACATTACTCATACAAAATTATGAACATTTATTTATATTAAATTCCCCTCAGTTTGTAATCTGAAGAAAAAAAAAACAATACCAAAAGAGTTTAAATGATTGTTTTCAAACCACATCGCTACACATACATACATACGTGTACTGGATACTTAATAATTTTATATGTTGATAAGATAAGAAACCCCGTTATTATTATAAGTATTATTATTGTTTTTATCAATTGAATATAAATAAAAAAAATCAATCTAACCGAAAAACAAACCCTTGTACTAAAGCACAACTTATATTCAGTCGTAAAACCGAAACGAGAGTAAAGTACGACTATATGATACCTTTCACCAGGTATCGGTAGAGAGTAAAAGAAATCGTTTAATAGTTTTGAGTTGAGCTAAAGCCGAATCTGACCTCAAAATTTCTTCATCAGATCTACGAGATATTTTTAAAACATAAAGTTTAAAGAATCTCGGATATGAAAATTTAAAAAATTAGATTTTTTTCAATTTTGCCCATAAGGTCCACATTTTTTTAGGGTCGGGGGAAATATTTTAATAATCAAAAGCGAACATATGAAGGTTTCTAAAATTATTTCCTATTTGACGAACTCAGTTTTGGTATTTTAGAACATGTGGGCCAAACTTAATATTTTGTTTTTAACACTGAAATGTTTTCCATAAAAATACCTTCCAGAAAAATATTAAATTGTTATATGTTCCAAAAGAAGATTTTATGTTAATAAAAATAGAATTATGGCATCTTTCCCCCAAAAACACTGGCCACATTTTGTGTGAAAACCTTTTTAATCCGATTTAATACAATATACATCTAGTCTGAAACGATAAGTGAGTGGGTCTTGTTTTTATAGCCCGTCCAATTAACACCTTCCCAATTTTGGAAAGAACAGCTGGACTGTCTTCTGGCGAGTAAGTGGTTACCTCCTCTCTTTTGGGATACACAACGTTATCTGTAGTAACTAATGATCATTGTCCTTTTCAGAGCTGAGGTGAAATAAGAACTACCTTTGTTCCTTACAAGACTAGCCATGGACTTCTGCTCGATACCTAATACAGGGAGGGAAGGCACTTTCCACTAAGTTCTTCAGAGTGAGATGCTAACCTCATTAACATCACGCCCATGCTAAACTCACAGCTGATGCTCTCTATTGGTTTTTTGAAGAGATTGTGTTCCACTATATTATTGTTGACCAGATCTTTTACGTAACTCTGGACTATTGGGTATTCCTGTCGGAATACCGGCATCACATACTGCTTAGCAATGATAGTCTCGGTGTTTTCTTTTGGATGCTTTGGCGTAAGATAGCGGTTCTTTTCCTTTTTCACTTTCTATCTTCTTTTTCCTCATTATTCAGGGCTTCTTTTGAGATACTCTTACCTTCGAGGTTGATTTTGCCGATGTGATCGTCTTCGAAATATCTAGCTTGGCATTGTCACCCTTACTTGCAGCCTAAGATTCCTTTGAGTGAGGTATAGCTAGAAAAGCCAGAAGAAGACGGGGAGCTCTTTTTCTTCGTAGATTTACTTTCAGCTGTCAGCTCTGCGGGAGATCTGATCATCTTTGCCTTAGATATTGATAGGGAATCTGATATTGGAGTGTCATGGGATTGACTGACTATAATATCCTGAAGCATCTTTTTCAAATTACACCTCTGTGCTCCAGAAAGACGTTTTTTAGTAAACGGAGGCCATCTACGTAGTCGTATTTTGCTTTCGATTACAGGATGATGATGACTTGTGACTTGTGGGCAGATCAGCACTTGCAACCTATACTAGGTTATTTAGGCCCTACGCAGCAACACCCCCCATATCCAGTTTTTTGTCCGCGTTGAATACAAGATCCCCAGGTGGTGGACAATCTGCCTTTCTCAGCTTAGGTGAAACGATTGCTGGGAGAAGACAGATTATTCATCACCACCCCCAATCCAACAACCGCAGATGAGCTCAGAGGATAAATTTGAAATCTCTCTTGAGATAAAATATGTACGTCTTGTACAGCGCCTTTATCAAAAATATGCACTTATGTTAAAGAGGATCGATATTCGGATATAGTTCAACTGTACCTTTGTTATTCAGAAGAAGAGGAAATTTAATTCGGACCAAAATTGATTGAACCAGGGGACAAATCACGGCATACGATATCGATCGAAATCTCAATAGAATCTAAATGGATATCGTATGCCATAATTTGGGACCAGCTAAATGTTTTTATATAAAATGCAGTAAAACCCAAATTGCTACTCATTTCTAGCACATTTTTCAGTACATAAGATTCACCACACTTCAAAATGACCCTCTTTTTATTTCCATTAAAACTATGGTTTCCAAAAGTATTATTCATAAATACATACATACATACATCCAAATAATATCAACAGGTTGAAAGTACTGATAAGATAAAAAAGTTAACGAGTTCAAATAATTTGGTGTATGTATGTAAACCTTATTTTCTTTTAAATTTGTTGTTGAAATTTTTTTTATTTGTGTTTGTTTTTGTATATGTAGTACTTTGTTAACATTCTAAACGATTTAGGTCATAGTCATGTTAACAAATATTGTGAAACAATTACAAATTATAAAATGTTATTCGAAAATTTCAAAAGGTATTTATATTCATTCATGTTTATAAAAATTCAGACATATGGACCTCTGACTCATATCCATGTTTATTATATGTACAGTAGAAAACGTTTTACAGTTTCGAATTAAATCAGCTTTATAGGATCATAATGATTCATTTCAAATTAAAGGCCTATAAGCTGGTTATCACTATCAAATAATAATAATAAAAACTTATCTTTTCTGAAAACCCTTAAAATATATATAATTAATGAAATTTCAACTACTTACTCCAATTATAACCATTATCGGTAACTTCATAACCCAATTCACCCAAATAATCATCAAACATTTGCAAAGCTCCCGAACGTTGCAAACTTATATTATTGGCCGGCATTATGTTGTTAGTTGAAGTCGTGGTTTTCTTTTTCGGTTTAGTTGGTTCTGGTATAACCTCAAACATTTCGACTGCTTCATTTTTATCCAATACTGTATCGAAATTCTGTTGTTGTTTAATAGTATTTTTATCTTTATTTGTTTTAGCAGATGCTGCAATATTTTCAGTTTCGGCAGAGATATTTTCATTAGCAATAACATAGGCTATGAAGCCACAAGCCAGTAAACTGGCTAAAAATAGTTTAAAACGCATTTTTTTAACTTAAAATTTAATCGTATATTTTCTTTATATTTCGTTTTATTCGTAAAAAATTTGTTCGTTTTTTTATTTTATTTTATAAGCTGTAGTTAACTTTTTCACTAAAAAATTTAAAAAAGAAAAAAAAACTAAATTAATTATTTTTTTGAAATGAAAAATTTAAATTATGACATCATCACTTTAGTATTTAATACATTTTTCTTTCAATGTAATTTCCTTTTTTTGTATTTTGAAAATTATATTTTTTTGTCTTATCAATTTGTAGCACTAATTTGTTCTTATCAGTCTTATCTATTACACTTTTTTATCACTTTTTCAACCATTTACCGTTTATTTTGAAAATACGTTAACACAGCTCCACCGTTAGATTCAGACTAAAGTCGGGGCGTAGTTATTAATTATATTGTGGGTCTTAATTTCACTTGTTATTTCGAAAACTTTTTTGTTATTATCTTATCTTAATATTGATAATTAATAAATGAAAGCTTTTCCCAGTATTTTTTCTTAATGCAATTTAAAGACTCACCCGGTATTGTTTTGAATGAATTTTTTTATGGAATTTGTATTTGCGGAAGTAGATTATAACCATAAACTAAGGAGTAAAGCGCAATGAATCATAGTTAGGCGTTGTATATTATGAATGAAATTACGTTTCTACATACAAATATCCCAACAGCATAAGAGTATATGTACATACGTACAAACGAAAAAAATCAACACGGGATCACTTCAAATTTCCATTAAAGGTCGAATTTTATAAGAAAATTTGAAAATCTGCAGTGTTTTTTAACCAATACGATCCAATCAAGAAAACATTAAGAATGTATGAAATCTCCGATTTTCCATCAAAAATCTATTTTTCTACTAGAAACCAAAAATTTCAGATCCCTAAAAACACGTCCAATTGAGAAAACATTTTCAATTGGTCGTTTCATTTTCAATACCAAATATCAGCATTCTAGCTCCTACCCTTTCGTGATTTCAACAAACAGACAGACGGACATGGCAAGATCGCCTTAGAATTTAATAGAGATACAGAATTAACAACCAACATTTTGATGAACGGAATGACAAAATCAATATACCCCCACCTTTTTTGGTGGTGGGTATAAAAATATGAATTTTAACCTTTATAAAATTGCGATATTTTGGAGATCTTTAAACTTCTTATTTATACAAATAATTTATGCACCGAATTTTATCAAAGTCGGATATGGTCATGTTCAAAATTGCACTTTTCTATTCGAAATTAACTTATTTATGACCCTTTAAACCGGGGCCACCTTTATGAGGGTTAGGCAAAATCATGGACCGATATTGCTCATTCATTCATTCAATACCAAACAAATCTTTTTTAGCTCCTCTTCAACGAAACCCCCCCTTGAGGATTTATCCCACCTTGGTGTATTGCAATTCCGGGGTATATATGTGCTACCAATCCTTCTAGTCTGCTGGTGATGATCAAATGTATCCTCGGCCTTTCCTTGGAATGATTTCACATGGGGCGCCAGATAATCTGGTACTGCGGTGGTCAGTTGGTTTGAGGTTCTTTCGGGATCCACGTAGTGACTGTGGTTTAATACCCTAATTCGCGGTTGGTTTAAAGACTGATTTATCCAAATGCCGTATATGTCTGGATTCTCTCCGGTGCTGTTGCCATCTCAACAGATGTCACTGGGTGATGTGACAGAGCAACTTATCCTGGATTCCTGAACCCATTGAGTATCTCCTACTCTTAGCGTAGTAGGGCGTAGTTTGGGGAATTGTCAGGTTGACATTCGGCAGTTGCCTGTGGAACTAATGTAAATTCGTGAATTTTCGGGAAATTCTCCTGTTCTATGAGAGACTAGTACTCAACTTGTCGGCGCAATTATTTGGTTCGTTTGACTTTAGAAATTCCTACATTCTTTGTCACATTATCTCGACATACAGAGGGATCCTGATCAATTGGCTGGGTATATCGAATTACCAAATAGTTCTCTGTCGCATCGACAGATTTGTTGCGGTTTCGCTGACCCCTCTTTTCTGATTCGTCCGTCATTTCTCCGACTGTCATCATTATGCTAGTTGTCATTCCGCAACGTGGCATCACTTGGCGAGAGATTAGATAGCAGCAAAGTGCTTATATATGAACCGGCAGAACCATGCACAAAAATTGCCACCTGAGTGTTCTTCACTCAGAGGCGGGTGGTAGACCGTTCCCAAGTCTACACAGTGGATAAAAAAAGACAACCGTGAAATAAGGCTGTCAAGACAGGTGTTCACGTAAAGCACTCAGACATACTTGTTTAGCTCCATTCTTGTGCTCCGTATAGTGATTTCAACAGACAGACGGACAGTCGGACTGACATGTCTATATCGTCTTAGAATTTAATATGGACCCAGAATACGTATACTTTTGTGTATCTACAACTAATATTTCGATGTGTTACAAACAGAATGACAAAATCAATATACCAATATGACAAAATAAATTTCCCCGCCTTTTAGACTCATTAAGTTATTCCGGTTATCAATTTTGAAAACCCTTGTTTTTATACCAAAGATTATTTGTATACATTTTATAATGATCATGTTACTCTTAAATCTTTCATATTGTTTTTCCAAAATTCTCTTCTCTCAACATATCGCTTATCAGTTCCTATAAACGAAACCAAAAGAAAACAGAAATTGTGCGTTAAATAAACGAATGGAATCGATGCATATAATCAGTATTGTTGTGACTTTTGGGGAGAGCGGTTGATAATTTGTGGCGTGAGTAAAAGTGAAATACGGGGGACACTCCAGTGACATAATTTGCAAATAAAATTATTATTAATTGATAGACTGACTGACGGTGTTATCTCTTGCGAGGAAGGAAAAATATTTAAAAAAAAACATCAAAATGCTACGTCATATGTGCAGCCAACATTTAAATAAATCTCTATGGTTACAACAGCAATTGCAACAACGTTGTTGTTATCACAGTGAAAAGGGAGTATTCGGTTATCGTCCCAAAACACAACGTGAATATAAAGGTAAACTTAACGAAAGTGAAAATTCAAAATTAATTTATTCATATCGTATCCAGGGAAAAATCCAACAATCTGTTAAATTGTCACAAGTATTAAAACTAATCAGTGCCACCATAAAAATTTCATCTGATAACCATACATCTTACGCTCTCTCTCACACACGATTTTTTATGCCTTTGATAACATGTTGTTGTATTCTTTTTCATATTTCTGCTTCAATTTTTTTGTGTTTGTGTTATTATTGTTATTTATTTTTTGGAAAAGTAATCTTAAATAAATATGTTGCTGGCGATAGTGTTTGTCCAAATGAAGATATGGTGTTTACCAACAATAATAAAATAATAATTGTATATTCAAAACTTAAGTTCATAATCAAAATAATCAAAATAAAATTATTCGAAATTGTTAATGTTTTGGCTAAACCCCCTTCAAACTGGTAGAAGAATTATTAATTTTATCAGGCGGTTTGTGACATTTAAAATTTATGAATATTTTTAAATCTCATATAAATACAAATTTCCCAATATATTTTAATGTAATTGAAAACTAATTTTGTGATCTGTGACAGTCCTCTCATTATAAAGTGTGTAAAATCGTAGTCCCTCTAAAACTTATTAAATAAGGAAAGATTAGGAATATCTGTACTCACTATCAATTATCGGGAAAATAATGATAACCGACAATCACTTAAATTTTAATTTTCAAAATTTATCCCTCACCATCGTCATGTTAAGTGTTTGAATTGAATCGATCAATACCCCCAAAAGCGCTGTTGCTTATCCTATAATGTGATACTCAGCTAGAGATAGATAAGATTCGTCAGTGCCGATAATTTGTTTTATTATATTTCTTTTAATATTCCACAAGTAGCTAATGGAGCTATTGTTGCTGTTGTTGATTTTATTTTAAATTAATTGTCAACAGCATATAAAATAAACAACAATATTTTTTGTTTTGATTACGCTATTCTCCCCATGCTGCTCACCATAGTGACCAATACGAAAAAGCATAATAGTGGTCTGTTTTAATTAGAAACAAGTAAGAGTGTTATATTCGGCTATGCCGAATCTTATATACCCACCATCAAACCTCGTTTGACTCGAATGAAACTTACTTATGTCGAATTTCATCTATATACTCGTATATTTAGGCCAGTTATAAGCGTTAAAGTAATTTTCTGAAGGGGACCATGTATAGGGGGGTAGGGTCAATTATGGGTCGATCCTCATAAAATTTGGTTCGTATTAAATTTATTTGTGTCGAATTTCATCGCTACACTCGTATTTTTAAATCATTAATGAGTGTTGCAGTCATTTTCTGAAGGGGACCTTATATGGGGGGTCGGGTCAATCATGGACCGATCCTCATAAAATTTTTTAGATAGATTTTGACTCGTATGAAACTTACTTATGTCGAATTTCATCTATATACTAGTATTTTTAAGCCAGTAATGAGCGTTAAAGTCATTTTCTAAGGGGACCTTATATGGGGAGTAAGGTCAATTATGGACCGATCCTCATAAAATTTCGCATATTGATTTTGGATCATAAGAAACTTACTTATATCGAATTTCATCGCTATATTCGTATTTTTAAACAAGTTATGGCTGTTAAAGCTGCTTTTCGAGGGGCCACTTGTATGGGGGCTATCCGAAAACGTGGACCGATATTGCCCATTTTCAATACCAAACAAACCTTACCTATAATAAATATTTATGTGAAATTTCAACCCTCTAGCTCTTTCCATTCGGACTCTATCGTTCTTTCAACAGACAGACAGACAGACGGACGGACGGACAGACATGGCTAGATCGTCTTAGAATTTAATGAGGACCCAGAATATATATACTTTTGTGGGTCTATGACCAATATTTCTATGTGTTACAAACGGAATGACAAAATCAATATACCCCCCATCTTTTTTGATGGTGGGTATAAAAAAAAAATAGAGTTGCCAATTAATTTTATTTCACTGTGGGTAATATTTTATTAACAAAATATTGAACTCTTAAAATTCCATAGAACAGTTCCAGTTTTTACGCTTACTTCAGAATCGAAATAGTCGAATGTTATTTCTGGTTTACTGGAGAAGGCATGCGACTTCTGGGAGATATAATCTGCTAATGTATATAAAGGTTTCCCGAATTGCATTATATTTTTCACTTAATGACAAAGTTATCAAAGTTATAACCTTAAGAATATCTAACTTCTTTCAATATTCACTGTAAATCAATAACCAAAAAATCGGGGCATGTATATAAATTCCATACAAACGAGGTTGTTAAACTGTAGGGCAACTCTGCTCGTTTATTTTTCGTACGACAAAAATGAGAGTGATTTTTTTTTTCGACAAGAGAGCAGATCCCCAGCAAACCGGCTTTTATTTATAAATATGTATGTATTTGTTTCTCTTATCAATAATAAAAATATGTGTAAAAATTTGTATTATAGAAAACGTGCTATAATTGGGAAAAAACACTTTAAAAAATATAAAAATTTATTTAATATTTATTACTAAGAATATAGTTTTAAACAGTTTTCATAGAACGCGATCTCTTTGTGCGCGACTCTCTTAATTATAAAGTTATTGATCTATTGATGTGATTTGTTAACACAAAAATAAAGTATAGATCAGTAGTGATCAGCAACACAGGTCAACAAATTTTTAACCCACAGGCCAAAGTATACATTTCTAAAAGTTTAAGCAGCGCAAAATCCGAATCTGTCCTCCATCACATCAAGTTTCCCAGATATCGTGTCAAGAATAAACCCGCTTTGTTGACGTACATAATCAACAATGGAGCGTTCGTGCTCCAGCCACGGTTAAAATCATTAATAAGATCAAATTTTATAGGATTTTTGATATTCTTTGTGATCACTCCAATGTGTGATAAGATTTTAACTGATTTCTGTTATTGAGAAATATAAGTTATCACGGATCAAACTACTGTTCTTAAAATTATTAACAATTTTTAAGCAAAAAATTACCTCTTCAAGAATTTAGAAGAACAACAATTTGTTTATGGTAATATTAAATTATAGGTACTTAAAAATATAACTTTTTTATTATTATTATTATATATATTTTCTACATGTTATCAACATGTTCTGAAAGAAAGATAAGAAAAAATAAAACGATTAGAAAAACATAACATAGATTTTTTTTAATAAAGCTAAAAAAGATAAATATATAGTTAAATTGAAAATTATAACAAAAATACATATTCTTGAGTTTTACAAATAATCATGTTTTTGAGGTTATAACCAAACCAAATTCAAATGGCTTAACTTTTAACAATACGAATATTTCGTAGACAATAGACTAAAAAAATAATTGAAAAAAATATGCCAAAACTACTACCAACAACAACAAATTTATAGATTTGAAAATCAATAAAAGCACTCAATTTTTCATTTTTGTTTTTTGCACAAAAAAAAAATAAAAACAAAACAGTAGATGAAAAGTAAAGATTAAAATAAATATCCTAAAAGCTAGAAATTATAAACAAAAGACGAACAAGAAAAACTAAAAAGCAATAAGCTAGAAAAACTTTTAAAATGTTACTAAAATAATAATAGAAAAAAGTTATATTTTTTAATGCTAAATTAAGATTTATATATGGGGGATTTCATATCAAGTGATCCAACTTTTAAAAGCGATGTCTTCCGGTCGGTATGAAATTTGCACCAATATTAGTTTTATTAGATAGTATTTTAGACAGAATTCAATTTCAATAAGATCGTCAAGAATTTTCTAAGTCACAGTGGTTTAAAATTTGTCATTTTTGCCAAACAATTACCATCTTATTACCTATAGTAACTGTAGTACCTATACTATAGTTGCCTATAGTATAGTTCTTAGCAAAAATTGTTACAAATAGTTTAGATAGCTATTTCATCAATCTTTCGATAAAAATATTAAATTTATTGACTATTTCATCGGCTCAGAATCACTTTCCGAGTCGATTTAGCTATGTCCCTCATTCCGTCCGTCTGTATGTCTGTCTGTGTGTCCATGTAAAACTTGTGCGCACGCTACAGGTCGCAATTTTCAAGATAATTTGATGAAATTTGGTACATACTCTTCTTTTGACCCAAATGGTTAAAATCGGTTCATTATTTCGTCTAGCCCCTCATATAACCTAACCCCCTATTGGGGCTGTTGAGGGCATAAATATGTTAAATGTACTTTTATCTCTTCAAAAAGCGGCAAAACTTAGTTTTATATAAGTTTAAATAATACTACTGATTTTCATAAAGATCGGTCCTCATTTGACCCTAGCTCCCATACAAGGTCCCCTTCAGAAAATAACTTATAAACACTAATATCACGATGAAATTCTGCATAAATAACTTTAATGTAGACTTAAATCTCTCTACCAAAATTTATATAGATAAACCCATACTGACCCACTGCCCCCATAAAACCCCACTTTTAGAAAATGTCTCTTTTTTTGTCAACAAATCTGAAAAATATTGCTGAATTAAGCTAAAAATAAAATTAAATGCTTTTCAATTAAAAATAATCCACATTTTTAACATAATCACTGTATCATAAGGTCGGCCATGCCCTACTATACATTCTTACTTGTTTCAAATACTTTAGAAATATTGAAGAAATAGCTATATAAACTATTTTGAACAATACATATGAAGACCCCCGGTAACTCAGAAAGTTCTTGACCGATCTTGTTGACAGAATTATGTCTAAACTACTATCGATTAGAACTAACAAATTTCATAACGATCGAAAGACATCGATTTCAAAAGTTTGGTCAATTAACATGAAATCCCCCATATCTATGTACATATAAAAAAATCGTTTTTGATTGAAAGTTTTCTTTCATTTGACAATAGATTTTATTTAAAATTTCCAATTGGCAAATCCATTTTAACTACAATACAATATCTAATTTAATATGTATGAGAGTCCATTCATTGCAAAACCAATGTATTCAAATGTGTTTGTGTACTACACCAATTGGAATTGTAAAAAAAATTTCAGGCGAAAGGATTTTCATACTAGTTTTTTTCTTTAGAATCTGTTAATATTTGGATATACATATGTATGTATATATGTACATTAGGGTAGCCCCGCTTGTATGGAAAATAAATAAAATAAACTGATGTTTCCACCACAAAATCAAGTTCAGTTCCTTCTAAGTTACGGCTGCTTAAAACGTTTATCATATTTATGAACTAAATTTTCATTTCCGCAACTTTCATATTTGGGGTCATTCTAATTTACATAGTTTTCGCCTAGAAACTATGTATTCTCATTTCAAAAAAAACACAAGTTATCTCAACTAACACATTGCAAAAGTCAAAGAAATATTTTCAGCCAAATAGCACACAACAAATACTAAATAGAAAAGCAACAACCAACGTGTTGTTGCAACAACTTTATTTTGTTAAAAAAAAAAAAGAATAATGAAAAAAATTAAAAGCAATATTTGGGTGCAAAGGATATCCCACTTCTATTTCAAATAAAACAAGTTAGAGTTCTATATTCGGCTGTGCCGAATCTTAAATACCTTCCACCAGCAAGCTGTTTTTAATTAAAACCCACTTAACCATCTAAATTTTAGATAACTTGGCAAAATTGTTGTTTCCGTATTGATATGCATATGCCAATCTAAGTTTAATTAAGTCCAGAAAAACTTATATTAATAGGCCAGTTCGAAAACATGTTAATATAATGATATATCTATACACAGAACATATTTTTGTCGAATTTTATCCGGATATAATCATTTAATAACGTATTAAGTGGTATTAAGTGATTTTCAGAAGTAAACCTTGTATGGGAGCTAAGACAACTTATGGACCGATCCGGAAAAAAAATCCGTAGAATGATTTATATGCTCACAAAACATATTCAAGTCGTACTTTATCCCGATAGCTTTATTATTCAAAGAAATATATGCGTTTAAGTGATTTTCGTAAGTAGACCTTATATGGGAGCCTATCGGGAAAAAATTTCGTAGAGTGATTCATATAAAAACAAAACATATTTGTGTCGAATTTTATCATTATAACTTTATTTGATAATGAAATATGTGCATTTAAGTGATTTTCGGAAATGGGCCTTATATGGGATCTATGACTAATAATTTTCCGATCCGGGAAAAAAGTGGTAGAATGATTTATATGTACACAAACCATATTAAAGTAGAATTTTATCCTTATAGCTTTAGAATTTTATGAAATATATGTGTTTAAGTGATTTTCGGAAGTTGACCTTATATGGGAGCTATGACCAATTATGGGCCTATCCAGAAAAAATTTCGTAGAGTTATTCATATTTAGACAAAACATATTTGTGTCGAATTTTATCAATATAGCTTTATTTGACAATGAAATATGTGGCTTTAAGTGATTTTCGGAAGTGGGCCTTATATGGGAACTATAACCGATAATGGACAGATCCGTAAAAAATTTGGTAGAATGATTTGTATGTAAACAAAACATATTTGTGTCGAATTTTATCCCTATAGCTTTTGAATTCAATGAAATATATGCGTTTAAGTGATTTTCGGAAGTGGACCTTATATGGGAGCTATGACCAATTATGGGCCTATCCGGAAAATATTTTCATAGAGTGATTCATATTTAGACAAAAATTATTTGTGACGAATTTTATCAAGATAGCTTTATTTGACAATGAAATATGTGCTTTTAAGTGATTTTCGGAAGTAGGCCTTATATGGGAGCTATGACCAATAATGGTCCGATCCGTAAACAATTTAGTAGAATGATTTGTATGTACGCAAAACATATCTGTGTCGAATTTCAATGAAATATGTGCGTTTAGTTGATTTTCGGAAGAGGACCTTATATGGGAGCTATGACCAATTGTGGACCGACTGAAATCTACGTTGATATTATGATTTCTGTTTATATTATATTTGCATGTACAAAATTTTGTGTTGATATCGATATATTTGAGGGAGTTATTAACGATAAACTAATTTCCGGGAATATATACCTTTGTATGGGGGCTATGGGAAATATTGGATCGATTGTAAAGATTTTGAACATAATTAATCACTGCCTTGAAAAAATAATGTGTGACAAAATTCTTCGCAATATCTTTGGTAGTTTCTGAGAAAACTTCAAAAGAATTAGGAAAAAAAAAGTAATTTTTTTCGAGATAGTCTGAAATTTTTACTCATAAGTTATTACTTTGTGAACCGATTTTGCTGATTTTCAATACCAAACTGCTTAGGATAATAATAAATATTTTGGGTGAATTTGGTTGATTTCCTTTGCTTAGTTTTAACGTGAGCGTGTTTTAGGCAGACAGACAGACAGACAGACAGACGGACATAGCTAAATCTACTCAGGATTTCATAAGGACCCAGAATATATATACTTTGTTGGGTCTGAAATGAATATTTCTTGGTGTTACACACGGAACGACAAACTTATATATACCCTCTATAACCACTGATGGTGGTGGAGGGTATAAAAAGTATAAAATGTGCTAGTGTACATATCAATGTTTAAAGGACCCTACCAATACATACATACCTTAGCATACACACAAGTACATACATACATACTTACCAAAATATATCTTTATATTAAAATTTGTAAATTTGTTGAAGATCATTGAATATTGTCCTAATTAAGAACTCGAATTTTTCTTAAAATCGCCTTTAAATCCTTAAATTACGCTTCAAATCAGAATGTAAAAGCTAAGATGTAGATTCATACTATTTATAACAAAATTCATACCAGTTATGAAAAAAAAGTTTTAAAAATTAATTTTGATAAATTTAACAACATTAAAATATCTCCATGCCTATACATCCCCCGCCATTTAAAACGAAAAAAAGTCATTTAGCATGTTGCATGTCAACACCAAGTAAAATTTTTCTCACAGACATTTATTCTCCTGTATGCATGCATCACCATGAATAAATACGTTACAATATCCATAGAATATTTTCCTTACTATTTTATACGTTTTGTGTTCTTCTTTTTTTTTTCCTCCACACCCTCCCTACAACAATACAACTTTATATACAACTAACGGTTCATTCGTCCATTCAATCTACTACAAATAGTACCGGAAGATGTGCTGCAGTCAAGAAATGCCCAGGGTAATGTATATCGTTGGGTGGAAGCTTATCGCAAATATGGCCACAAATTGGCAGCCGTAAATCCCATAAGCATCAAAAGTCAACAAAGGTAATAAACAAAACGAAATCAGTATAAATAAAGATGAACGAAAAACAACAACAACAAAAATACGAAATAATGACAGAAAAAAAAACGTTAAGAAAAATAAACAGAAAATATAAGAATGGCAAGTAAATTCTTTAGAGGAATAAAGAAACGCTATATAAGCAAACAATCAGAAACATTTAAAGTTGGCCAAAATGAAATTGTTAATAATAAAAAAATCCGGTAAGATTTCTTGCTCCTTGCTGTTGTTGTTGTTGTTTTTGTTGTCCGTATATCTTTATTTTATTTTCTCTAAACAAACTACAAAATAAATTGTTAAGTCATTTTTTAGTTAGTAATGATGATAACAAAACAGAAGAACACACGAAAAAAAGTTAAGAAATATTTAAAAAGGAAATATTTAACCCTTTAAAGGTCAAAATGGCCTAAGAAGGTGCTTATATACTAATTTATAGATTTTTTCTCAAAAAGTATTTAGTATTTCCAAAAGCCTTTATAAAATCATCGACCGATCAATGTGAAATATGGATATTTAATGGAAAGCTACCGCTTGAACGGACTGAAAATATGGTCTCGTTAATAAAGTTTGGCAAAAATGTTATATTCCTCCCATGTTCATTACGAATTCTATCATTATTTTTGAAAAAAGCCCCAGTACCCTACCAGCAATTGAAAAGCATGATCTCAGTACAACATGTTACACACATTTTTACAGCAATCTTTACGAAATGGTCCTTAAAAAGTCCGTAATTTTGAGCTTATCACGGGAAAATAACTTAAATTTATGCTAGAGTATTTCTGATCCACAAAACAACTTTTAGTGCATTATAAGGAACCTGTAAATTCCAAATTAATCTAAAAAATTCTGAAATGGACCAAACCAAATGCTAAAAATGTTTTAAATATTTTTCTGTATAAGCCAAAATAATCACAAATTATACTGAGATCAGGATTTTCAATCGCTGATAGGGAACTGAGGACCATTCCAAAAAAAGTACATTAATATTCCTCAGATTTTTAAAAAGGTTGTTCCTCGGGACACTCTAATATACAAACATTGATTTTGTCATTCAGTTTATAACACATCAAAATATTGGTGATGGATTCTTATGTCCGTCCGTCTGTATAAATTACAAGACTGATTTGTTCCCAGAAATTATACAAAGCCGTAGAGTTCCGTTCATAATTGACCCAAGGCCTCATAATTCTTCTGAAAATAATTCCGATCTACATTCTAAAATGACAGATCCTAAATACCGTAGTCCATATATACGATTACTGTCCGATAAATGTTTTGAAGGGCGTCATGAAATAACTCCCCAAAACAAAAATGAAATAACTCCCTAAAAATTTGTTCAGAAAGCAAAAACAACGAAATTTGGGGATATAATTCGTTTTTTTTTTTTTTTCATTATTAAATTGGGGAATTATTTGATAATGAAATAAGTCCCCAAATTTGAGGACTTATTTAATTTTTGTTTTGGGGAGTTATTTTATGACGCCGTTTTGAAGGTGGATATATAATAGAGCCGAATTTTTTTAGATTGAAACCATTATCGAATTTTTATTCATATTTATAAAAACCCGAGTTTTATTGAAAAATATATGAAATCGTTGATAATGGCATATTTTTTCATTAAGGATATCGATACGACTTTCATACCGAGGCACTATATTCAAAAAGTGCGAACTCACAAAATAAATAAGCTGAGTTAGCACTTTTGAATATATACAAATCCTATATTCGTCTGAAATATAAGATTCAATTCGTATTATTTTTAGAGATCAATTTCGGATTATCATATAAAATCTTCATTATAAAATCTTTTCTATTACATTCTTGAGATCAATTCTAGAGATGAAATTGTCTGAACATTTAAAATGAAATACAAATATTTATATGAAATTCTAATTGTTGCAAAATGTCCTTTCTAGTCCATAAATATTCTAAGGGTTAAATAATGATAATAAACAAAACTGCTTACAAGTTATTTTAATGTTTCTTTACAGTTCCTTAGATGAATTAAATCCTGCATTTTATGGTCTTCAAACCCAAGAAAACGTACAGCCACAGGGTTTGCTTAATGCCCCCGATGTCGTCGCCACAACAACGACGACTGTAGGCGAATTAGAGGCAAAATTAAAAGAAATTTATTGTGGCAAAGCAGTTAGTGCTGAATTTGGATATATTGAGGTATGGTATACTAGGCATGAACTAAAAATAATATTGTTGTTCAACAAAAATAAAGATTATCCTATAATTAAGTAAACTTTTAGTTAGTGTACTTAATGTAATAAGCATACACATTTTTTATAGAGTTCATATGATTGCAACAAATTAAAAATGTTCCCCTTATTTACACCTTCTCATTTTCAGAACCTCGAGGAACGTGAATGGTTGGCCTTACATTTCGAACAGCTGAATGCCCAGTCACAGCAATATCTGAGTAATGAAAATCGTAAACAGATTGCCGAATTACTTATTAAATCACAAGCCTGGGATAATTTTATGGCAACAAAATTTCCCACTGTCAAGCGTTACGGCGGTGAGGGTGCTGAAAGTTTAATGGCATTCTTTTGGCAATTACTGCGCAATAGTGTACAAGGTAAAGTATATCTTTTTATTACTTTTTAAGGATACTTGGCTCACAAATCACTCATACGTTTGTATGTACTATAGAAATATATTTAGGATTATAAAAAAAGTTTCAGGATTTTTATATTCTTTTTTTTTGTGTTTGTATTAAGCACAAAACTGTTAGCAAAGTATTTAAGAAAATATAATTGAGTACATTATAATATCAGTAGCAATTATATTTATATTTTTATAACCACTGACATGACACGGATATGTTGGGATGGCGTCTATTATGGAGTAATCATTAGGAATGATCGCCAGAATGATTTTTATGTCTTTATAAAATCATGTTAAAACTTATGTGTGGAGGATATATTCGATTTGTGCTGATGTTTGTAACGCAGAATATCATAATTTTCTCAGTCCGTCCTTGACTCTAGCCCTCCACCCCCGGGGCCATGTTACCTTGATAAAAGACCAGAGAACCACAAAATCATAATACTAAGGATGGCCAGTTGCCCGCAGAACTTTGTCCTGGCTGGTCAGTTGGTTGAGGTTCCTTCGGGATCAACATAGTGTCTGTGGTTTAAACCCAAATTCGCGGGAAGAGAATGTCGGTTAAAGGACTGATGCACGGTGAAATCTATATTTCGGGATAAGTTCGGTACTGTTGTCGAAGTCAACAGATACCCCACAGAAGAGTGACTGTGGGAATGAGTTGGTGTTAAATGTGTATGATACAGGATAAATATAGGGGTATACGGATCTCACCCGCCCGAATACCTAGAGTGAGTGTATCAGATGTTGTTCTCTATGAGGGTGTCTGAGTGATGAGAAGTGTGCTGGGTTGAATAATGATGGATGGAAGGTATCTTATTATACAAGTGATACCATTGAATTTTCCTTCCTTGTCCAGGTATGTTCAGAGAAAACTCTGTTCATGCCAGATTTACCACAGTGTGTTCTCTGTGAATAAGAACAAAATCCCCGGCTTATTTGATGGATTCGTGTTTCGGACTACCAAATACGTCTCTAGGTACTGTTGCGGACTCTACAGAGGCCATCCCATATGCGTGGTTGTAAACGGAAGTGATGTCTTTGCGTCTCGGAAGTTAAGCAATGGGGTAGCAATGGTTAGAGACTGGATAGCTCGATTACTTGAGCAAAGTGCTTGTACATGGACCGGCATAACCATGTACAAAAATTGCCACATGCGTATAAGATATACAAAGGGGCGGTGGTGAGTCGTCACGGAAGCTCGCCCAGCAGTTGAAAAAGATCACCATGAAATAGGCCAATACGGCAGGTGTTCACGTAAAGCACTTCGACAAAGAACCCTTCGGAAAAATTCGCTTAAAAACGAATGTCGCTAATGAAATTCATGATAAATGCATTTTATGTAAATCTAGATCTATCCAGCAAATGTTATAAGGATCGGTCCACATTTTCCCCCAGCCCGATATAAAGCCTCTTTCATTAAATTAGTTTTTCATCAATAAATTGATGAAACCACCCTAATGTATATTGTAGCAACAATTCGTTTGAATTTATACCATAATTTGTCCATAATTTAGCCATATTAGCTCAAACTTATTTCACACCAACTACATATCGAGGGACTATATTCAATAGTCGCTATCTGTCATTTTCATGAAAATGAGATTTTGATGGCAAAATATTCAGCAAACTATCCCGCATCAGTGATATAAATTTCAAAGAAAAAAAATATTTTTTGGCAATTTTATAGCTTTTTTCAAATTTCTCTATCTTAAAAAAAAAGAAAAATTCTGAATGCAAAACTCTCTATCTTATCCAAAAATTGCTTCAAACTCTATCCCTTTGGATGATTTTCTGTTGCAAAACAAGTCTTCTTAATAATTTGGACATGCTGAACACAAATCCGTCAAAATATTTAAAATCGGTCTAATAGTTTTTGAGATATCGCTCATTATGATACTAATTAAATCAATTTTATTGTCGTGTTTAACCATATAACTTTGATTTTGGACCAAAACATTATAATCTGTTGCTTTTTCAACAATTTGGTTTATTTTCCTCCATTAAATTGTATAAAATATAATATTTATTGATTTTAATTCAAATAAAAATTTTATATTTCCATGAAAAACTCTCTATCTGTTGGTTGAATGAATATTTTCGTAGAAAAATAAGCTCTATCTGATATAAATTTGTGAATAATTTTGCAAATAATGCAAAATTTAAAATTATTTTTATATAAGGGTTTAGTATATGTTCGTAGAAATATATTGTAGAAGAAAAAATTTAACTGGCGAAATAAACAGTTTTTTTTGCTCTCCTGAAAACTTGTATTATTTTAGATAGGGACTATTGAATATAGTCCCTCGATATACCATAATTTAACTTTTATACATAATTTAATTAAAATGTATCATGCATTTTGTAATCCTTTTTAAAAGTAACACTACAATACCTAAAGTCTTGCCATCACAGCTCTAACATCCTGCATCTGCATTTATCATTAAATTTCATAATTTAAATTCCAAACTCAAGGTTATGACATACAACCATTAATCAGTTGGCCAAAAACTATTCCAAGCTCTCTAAACAAACTAACAGACGAATTGAAACTACAATTCATGTATGAGTGTTCTTTGGCAACAAAATTCTAATAAAACTTTTCCTTCTTGTAATGCTTCCTGCTAAATCTTCAAAGTATATTGCTGGGTATTATATTTTTGTGTTTTTGCTCTTTTAGATGATCTCAAACACATTGTTGTGGCAATGCCACATCGCGGACGTACAGAATTACAAACTGTTCTATTGAATATGAGACCAGCAAAAGTTTTTCGCAAACTAAGTGGAGAATCTGAATTTCCAGACGATTGCCAAGCCATGTCAGATGTAATAAGTCATTTTCGTGAGTAGTTTTGTTGTTAAATTAATTTTGATTTATGTTTAAAGTAAAAATGAAAAAAAAAATATCCTTTTGTTTATAATTTCCTAGATGTATCGGAAGATTTAAATGTGGAGGGTAAAAGTATACATTTTAGTATGGTGAGAAATCCCTCACATCTGGAGGTGAGTTTTAAATAAATAACTTAAGTTGTTTTATTGCAATTCATGTAATTTTTGTAACATTTCTTAGGCTGCCAATCCCGTTGCCATGGGCAAAACTCGTTCTAAGCAACAATCTTTAAAGGATGGTGATTTTAGTGATGAAGCCGGTAAACCTTTCGCCTCCTCTGTACTTAATGTTATACTGCATGGCGATGCTGCCTTTGCTGGCCAAGGTATTAATCAGGAATGTTTGAATATGGCCTATGTGCCACACTTTGAAATTGGTGGTAGTGTTCATTTGATTGTCAATAATCAAGTGGGTTTCACTACACCCGGTGATAGAGGTCGTTCCACCGATTATACCTCTGATTTAGCTAAAACTATACAAGCTCCCGTTCTGCATGTTAATGGTGATGATCCCGAAATGGTTGCTTTGGTTACGAAATTAGCTTTCGATTATCAGCGTCAGTTCCGTAAGGATATATTCATTGATATGAATTGTTTCCGTCGTTGGGGTCACAATGAATTGGACGATCCTACTTTTACCAATCCATTGGTATATGCCATTGTCAATAATCGCAAGTGAGTAGTAATTTGAAAATTTATTGATAAATTTTTTGGGATTTTCCGAAAAGTAAAACTTAGTTTTTAAGTTGTTTATATAAAAATCGTTCTTTTATATTAGATTTTGTATTATTTTTGTAATTAGACTCCTTTTAATGGAACTACAAACAATATAGGTTTTATATATAAAGACATACAAGTCAGAGTTGAATTCGGCTTTGCCGAATTTTATATACCCTTTACCATAGTGCGTAGAAAAACAAACAGTACAGTGTCAAAGCATTTTTGAATAGCGATTTTCTCGAAACCTTATCTGATGGAATTATTGGAGATTTAGATCTCGCAGATATCTTCTTCTGGAAACTGATTTCAACATACAAACAGACAGACGGACATGGCTACATCGAATTTGCTATCTAAAAGGATAAAGTTCCTTTCAAAATTTTCTCCATAAAACATTTTTTTTAATGAATTAAAGTAAATAACTAACTCCTTCATTCTGTATCTCTTAAAATTAGGACCGTTCCCGATTTATATGCTGAAAAACTTAATGAACAATCCATACTCTCCACTGAAGAGGCTAAAAAAATACACAACGACTATATGGACTACTTAAGCGAAGAACTGTTATTAGCGCCCAAATATAAACCGGAACCATCTTACTTTCAAAGACAATGGCAACACCTTACTACGGCTTCAGACAATATAACCTACTGGGATACTGGCCTTGATTATGGTTTACTAAATTACATTGGACAGCAGAGTGTAAAATATCCTGAAGGCTTCGTAAGTACAAGTACATATAAATGCAAACAAAAATAAATAAAAAAAAATAAAAAACTAATGAATCCATAAGAAATTTACGTCTAGTATAAGAAGCTATAAAGTGTTTTAAATGATGAAAATTGTTTCGTCTTTTTTTATTTTCTTTATGCCGAAACAGAAAGTTCATCCACATTTAAAGAAGACCCATATTGAGGGCAGAATGAAAAAACTGAATGCTGGTGAAAAAATTGATTGGTCAACTGCAGAAGCTTTAGCAATTGGCAGTCTTATGTATCAGGGTTATAATGTACGTATAAGTGGTGAAGATGTGGGACGTGGTACTTTCTCACATCGTCACGTCATGTTGGTTGACCAGGAGACAAATGAAATGTTTATACCACTGAATGAACTCAAAGGTGGTCATGATGGTAAATTGGAAGTGGCTCACAGTATATTGTCGGAAGAGGCTGTATTGGCATTTGAGTATGGTATGGCCATTGATAATCCAAATAACTTGATAATATGGGAAGCTCAATTTGGTGATTTTGCCAATGGTGCCCAGATTATTATTGATAATTTTATTATCTCTGGAGAAAGTAAGTTTTTTTTTTTGGGTTTTCATGCGAAAGAATTTATTTTGAATAAAATTATTTATTACTTTTAGCCAAATGGATGGATTCGAATGGTTTAGTTTTGCTTTTGCCTCATGGTTACGATGGTGCTGCCTCGGAGCACAGCTCCTGCCGCATTGAACGTTTCTTGCAATTGTGTGATTCGAAAGAATGTGCTGTCGATAGTGATAATGTTAACGTACAAGTTGTTAATCCCACTACACCTGCTCAATATTTCCATGTCTTGCGTCGCCAACAAATACGTAACTTCCGCAAACCTTTGGTGGTAGTTGCTCCCAAGGTGCTATTGCGTTTATCGGCTGCTACTTCTTCACATACCGATTTCGCCGAAGGCACTCATTTCCATAATGTTTTGGGCGATAAGACCGTACACCAAGATTCAGTTAAACGTGTTATCTTGTGTTCCGGCAAACATTATTATAATTTGGCCGACGAGAGACAGGCCCAAAATATTCAGGATACTGCCATCATTCGTGTCGAATCGCTGTGTCCATTCCCCGCCTATGAATTACAGCAAGAAATTGCTAAATATAAGAATGCTACGAGTAAGTTTTGTATATGGGGTCATATCAAAGTTTTTCGAACAGATTTCGTCCCTTAACCTCTCCGCTTTTGTTGGAACTTGGTACACACATTCTTTGTATAAATACAAATTTTAAACCTCGATAAATTTTAATTTTGGAGATCTTTACATTTCGTATGCATATGTATATAGAATGTGCGTACCGAATTTCATCGAAATCGGTGAGGTTCATATTGAAAATCCCACTTTTTTGTTCGAAATTTTTTGAATTTACTTTATGGGCTTTTAATTTCGATCGTTTCAATTTATTAACTGATATTTCTATATATTTATTTTAAAGAATTTGTTTGGGCTCAGGAAGAACAACGTAACATGGGCGCCTGGAACTTTATAAAACCACGTTTTGAAAATTTGGTTGGAAAACAGGTACGAATTGAATGTTTTATCTATATAAAGCGGATTTCATTATTTAAATACTTAGATTTAAATTTTGAAGGATATTGAACAGTGTTTACCAGTAATTTAATGATATCTACTTATTCTTAACACTCCTTGAGGAATGTCTGATTATTTTTAACTAAATCGGATAATACTAAACTTTTCACATGGCAGATGTCTAACTTCTTACTTCTTTACTATTCTAACTATTTAAAAACTATTGAAATTAAGGCTCAATTATCATGAATTACACAGGCCGAGAAATTTTTAACCCAGATTATGGTGTCCTGATGAGACGTTATAATAGCGCCAAGACCAATTTATTGTCTGTTTTAAAATAAAGGTTTAACATTTGATATATCTTCTTTGTTCTTCGAGATATTTTCACCTAAAGATAGAAAACTCATAGTATAACATGGTCCCACGGTTTCGACTTTTTTTCAAATTTTGTCAGCTTGTGTTAATTAGTGGTATTTGACAAAATTTTCAACCGTATTCATATAAAGTATTTAAAAAGTTATTGATGGTTTATTATAATAAATTTTAAAGGGAATAGTGCTAATATGGACCCAACTGTGTAAAGTTTTATTATTAAAGGATATGCTTAAAGTATTTGTGACCTTTAATATCCCTTTTCGAGAGGACATCAGAGCAATTAGTTTAATTTGAGTATAAGGGTATGACCAATTTTTTACAAACATCAGCACACAGTGTAGGGTATTAAAATTCAGTTATTTATATAATCTGAGTACAGATTTTATCTTTAATTGCCGTCTTAAGATTTCAGCAAACATATGAAAACACAACATTTCTTATTCCCAATTAAATTTTAACATACATATGTATAAATATTTTATTATTATTTTTCTTTAACAGCTGGAATACTGTGGACGCGTTGAGGCGCCAACATCTGCAACGGGCATTGGAAAAGTACACAAACGTGAAGTTGAAGAAATTGTAAAGAAGCCATTTCAACTGTAATATGTAAATGTTAAATGCGACAAAAACAGTTAAAACGAGCCAAAAGACAGAAAAAAAAAATAAAAACAATCCAACCAGCTAACTAACCAGGACAACCAACAAATGTATTTTAAATTCACTCATACATAAATGCAGGCATAACTATGTAGTATTTACATGCATGTGTATATCCTGTAATGTATTATCTTTAGCCACTTCCATTTCCTTTTGGTGCTGTTGTTAAACGGAAATTTAGTAAATAATACAAAAAAAAATTCTATACATAAAGTTACATAGCAATTCATATACAGACATAACCATAACCCTGACACTGGCCCAAAAACATAACTGTATAATCAAAGGATGTTGTTTTTGTGGTATTGTAATAAAAAAAATATATATTTTTTTTACTTATCTTCCGTTTAGTTTACTGCGGTCCTTTGTATAATAAAAATATTTATTTTAATTATATGTTTGTTTCTTGCATTCGTTCCTTTTAATTATACACTTTTATGCATTTATATAAAATTGTCCAGCAACAGTTTATCTAAAATATTAATTAAATTAAGAGTTATTTAATTTTAAGAAATTAAAAAGAAATAAAAAATGATGTCCAGTTAAAAAAATATTTGTATATTGATCTTTTAAAATTTATTTGCTTACATTCACCGATATTTATAGAGATACGGTAAAAATAGTAGTTGCAGATTACAAAGGCCAACAAATATTTAACCCAGAGACCAAAGTATACTTTTCTAAGAGCGGGTTTTTGAGATGGTAATCAAATGCCAATTAATAATCAGATTAGTTAATCTAAAAATAAATTTAATCGTATGTTAATCCCCTTTGATGTTTTTGAGTACAAGATTAAACTTCGCAGTGTTGCCGTACAAAACAACAGAAAACTTCACTGCTTTTTATCAAAACAATGCATATTTTATAAAAAGAAGAAGACAATTGTAAATTTAATATGAAAATTAAAGAAAACTTAAATTAAAAACAAAAAAATGTATTTTGAAGTGTCCATAATTTATACTAATCAATAAATAGAACATTTTAATGTTTATATTTATACAAATTTTATTAATTTTTTTGCATCAGCTGTTTACACTTTTGCATTTCGTGCCACCTGCATTGGGCGCTTAAACTTGCAAACAAAATTAACTAATTGAGTACTCAAAAACATCTTTCGAGGATTAATTTTAATTTAATCGCTAATCTTTCACCTAAAGATTGGCCCTAAAGGATTAAGCATTGTTAAATCCGAATCTGGCCTCATTCTTCATAACATTAGGTTTTCGAAATATCGTGACCTAAAAACTGAAAAAATTTTTGCCGTAAAATAAGGGCAATATAAATTTTTGGGGATTTATGTGTAGTTGTTTCAAGCTTTAACATATCTCGATGAATGATGAAGATATGACAGAGGTTAAATCTTTATTTTAAAGTTGATGACATAACTGTTTTTTAAAGTAAGGTGTCTTCCCGCTTTTATAAGGTCTAAAATATGACCAAAAACTGAGGTTTTTCAGTTTTTAGGACTCGATATCTCAAAAACCAGATGCAAGATTCAGATTTATCGATACTCAATCATTTCAAAATGTATTCATTGGTATCTGTGATTCGACTTTTTCACAAATTTTGTTGGCCTGTGTTATCGTATCAGTATTAAACTTTGAGGTCGTCCACCGCCTAATGCAGAAGAACAACACATACTGCCACTTAAAACAGGAGCAGTTCTGGCACAATTGAGATCAAGCAATATATTTAATGCCATTGTTTGATCAGTAAAAGTATTTAAAATATGTTTTGAAAAATGTACTTTTTAAAACTTTGAAGTGCTTTAAAAAGGACACATGATCACGAAATGAAAAACTAAAAATGCAGTTTTACTCCATTAGATTTATAGTTTCAGACGTATATCATCCGGTTCATGTCTAATTTTGAGTGTCGGACGGTGTAATATGTCTACTGTGTATTTTTCACTTATAAAATGAGTAAAGTAAATATCTCAGGGTAAATACATATTAGGGATCGTTTTCAACATTTTATGGGAACCTTAGGTCCCGCCCCCGTTGGGCAATTAAAAGAGTTCCTTTTTTTAAATAAAACACTTTTGTTTAAAAAAAAATATTAAAAGCGTTGCATATATATTTAGATTTAAAGCCGATTATACATACATATATAGTAGTTATAAGAAAGTAATTGAGAGTTAGATAAATATTAAGATATTATGAATTTTCTATATTATATAGTTAGAATGTTGATTAGGGGTATAACTGAATTGTTTTTAATGAAAACTTTTTCTTAAGCATTTATATACAAAAAATACCCATTGGAATGAGAAACAAGTAAAAGTCATTGTGAATCAATCTTTTCGGAATTTTCTACGAATTTTATTAACATATAACAATTCGTAAGAGAACCTTTTATAGAGTCCTGGCCAAATTATGGATCGAACTATACGTAATGTGATTAAATTACTAGAACAAATTAAATTTTGCCGAATTATAACTTAATACCATAATAACTTGTGCAAAATTTTATCACGATTGTTAGCAACATAATGATGATGGTAAGGGCGAAAGGTGCAATATTTTCCCAAGTCCTATCAACATTTGGTAAAATATTCACACCTTTAACACCTCTCGATTAGCCTCTACATATCGTGTTTGATCTAGGCTTGAGAAGTTGTTCATACATTTTTTTAAGAAGATTTTAAACGTTAAAAGTTTTCTATTTAAAGATTTTAATTATTATCGGAATGTAAAAACAGCTGATATTTGCCTAAAATAAAAAATTTACAAATGGATCAATTTGTATAAAAAACTAAGAAAAATTTACGATTTTCTTGAAAATTTTTAAAATAAATTTTCCATTTTTTGTTATTTATGATTTGATTAATATGTTTTAAAGTTATACCCCTACTTCCTAATATATAAATACATCCAGATGCATAAATTTTGTTATAGTTTATAGTAAGTTTATATAAGGTTATTAACAGAAAAGATTGAAATAGTTTCTTAGGTAAGTTATATAGTTAGTGATAGACATAAAGTGGCTTAAAATTTTTAATTACTGTTATAAAAATATAGAATTAATAGTTTGTTTTAATAAATAGTTAATGACAGTGATTATTGCAAACTGTGGTGGGTACGTATATTTAATATACATATAATTATAGCAAATAGTGAGAGATATTCGGTCGATATATAAATTTACATATATATATATATATATTTAATATTATTCAAAAAAATATATATTAAATATACATACATACGCGCATTAGAGTTCCTACACTTTAATATAGCCGGAGAAAAAAAGTTCAAAATATAACATAGCCAAAACCAAATTTATTTATAATAAAAGAAAAATTTGCCAAATATTAGAAAATATGAATATATTAAAGATAAATTTGAATTTGAAAATTATTGTACTAATTTTAACTTTTTTTCTCGCTAGGCTCTCCAATGTTCAAGTATTCATAGCAAAAAGACATAGACAGAGACAGAGTTATTCGTTTAGATCCAGAGGGAAGGCATTTTTCAAACATCCGATACAAAATTTATAGGTCCTACTAACATGCATACTACATTTATACTTTTGAATAAGTAACAACGCTTTTTAATTTTTTTCTTGTCGTAAACTATTAACATTGCTGCTTACTACCAGTATATACTACTTCATTCGGTTTTAATAAAAATCTTTCTTAATTTTAATATTAAAATCTTAAGCTAATTGATCGCCATAGACCTTCTCCAAGATACTATAAAATTCTGATGACGTTTGAAAAATGAAGTACAACAGTCACATCCAGGACAATAGTCCAACCAGAGAAAAGACAAGTACTATGAAGGCTTCACGGCAGGTGGCATTATCCCAACCACATTCCAAATCGAATTTTAAAGACTGTGAATAGGAAAAATATAATGTTTATATTAAAATTATTTCATTATTTAATTCATAGTATGAAATTTTATTACCTCCATTAACTGTTGTCCACCTTTATTATCACAACGTGTTTCACGTAAATCGTCATCATGTTCATCGCACATATAACGGCCATATATTTGACATGGAGAATTCATAAATGTACGAAACACGGTATCGGTCCAGGTTTGTGAGGAGCAAATATATTGTCTTCGTTTTCGTTGCCAAAATTCTACCCAGCTGTAGAAGATGTTTACATAAAAATAATGTTAAATATTTTTCGGTCCACGATTTCATTAGTACTTAAACAAATGATTCTCTGAATAAAATCTAAACAGCCAAAAATATTTAGATTAGGCAACAAACTTGATAAATTTTGAACCACGACTCCTGTTTTGTAATAGTTATATTAGATTCGACATAGCCGAATATAAAACTCTTAGAGCGGGTTTTTGAGATGGTAATCAAATGCCAATTAATAATCAGATTAGTTAATCTAAAAATAAATTTAATCTTATGTTAATCCCCTTTGATGTTTTTGAGTACAAGATTAAACTTCGCAGTGTTGCCATACAAAACAACAGAAAATGTCACTGTTTGTTATCAAAACAATGCATATTTTATAAAAAGAAGATGAAAATTGTAAATTTAATATGAAAATTAATGAAAACTTAAATTAAAAACAAAAAAATGTATTTTGAAGTGTCCATAATTTATACTAATCAATAAATAGAACATTTTAATGTTTATATTTATACAAATTTTATTAATTTTTTTACATCAGCTGTTTACACTTTTGCATTTCGTGCTTAAGATTAAACCACCTCCATTGGGCGCTTAAACTTGCAAACAAAATTAACTAATTGAGTACTCAAAAACATCTTTCCAGGATTAATTTTAATTTAATCGCTAATCTTTCACCTAAAGATTGGCCCTTATTTGAATTTAACTTAACTCACCCTAAATCACAATCGCAATTCAAATCCGAATTCGACATTTTCAATTCCGTTAAAAAGACACTATTAGGCAAATAAGGCACTGTACCCGTATTAGGATTTGGTATCTTCTTTAACATGCGATTATTATAGCGTATATCTAACGATATATTACGTACACGTCCCATATTCTTAAAGAAATTCTTGGGTATTTCCGGTATTGAAGTATTAAAGAGTTGTATGTACAAATACGGTGACTGCATGCCCTGAAAAGAAAGAAAATAAAGGTACAACAAGCAATTATCTCTCGTATAGCTTAATGCGGTAAAATAAAAACAAACTTTTAGGATATTTTCATTTAAACTCGAAAATTGTGGTCCACTAAATGTTATATTTGTTAGTTTTAACGGTAAATGACCCTCCATCTCTCGTCCCAAATCAGTTGGCATACCCATTTGTACGGTTTGCATTTCTTGTGTCGGTCCTGAACCTTTTTTCAAGATGCGTGTAAACGGTTGTGGTGCCTCAATCCATAATTCACGTACATTATGATGGTGACGCAGCAGATATGGTATATTAAAGTTTTCCAGATGTGAATATGCTGTTAATTTGAGTGAACGTAAATGTGGCAAGGCATCTAGGCAACCGTATTCAAAGTAATGTAAACGGAAATTGGAAATGTCTAACATTTCAAGATCTTCATTGACACCATCAAAACTGTTGTTGTTAAGGGAGGTTATGGGATTACCAGATAACATAAGTTTTCTGTGAAAGAAAAAATATATTAAGAATTAAGTTAGAATTTAAATTAAATGTTTTGCTATAATAACAAATATTATTCATTGACACAGGTTTTTGATGATAAATGTAAGACATCACATTTTTAGAAATCTTCTCTGTTGGACATACACACTAGAATTGTTCATTGGGTTGTAAAATTAAGGACAGGTTCTTTACTACTCATTTAAAATTAGCTTAACTTGCAGTTAGATTAAACAAATTTAGGCGAAAAATTAAAAACTTTTAAAAAAATTTGTTTAAAAAAACAAAAATTTTTAATTTTTCGCCTAAATTTGTTTAATCTAACTGCAAGTTAAGCTAATTTTAAATGAGTAGGTGAAAGATTAGCGATTAAATTAAAATTAATGTTCGACAGATGTTTTTGAGTACTCAATTAGTTAATTTTGTTTGCAAGTTTAAGCGCCCAATGGAGGTGGTTTAATCTTAAGCACGAAATGCAAAAGTGTAAACAGCTGATGCAAAAAAATTAATAAAATTTTTATAAATATAAACATTAAAATGTTCTATTTATTGATTAGTATAAGTTATGGACATTTTTTTGTTTTTAATTTAAGTTTTCATTAATTTTCATATTAAATTTACATTTGTCTTCTTCTTTTTCATAAAATATGCATTGTTTTGATAACAAACAGTGACATTTTCTGTTGTTTTGTATGGCAACACCGCGAAGTTTAATCTTGTACTCAAAAACATCAAAAGGGGATTAACATAAGATTAAATTTATTTTTAGATTAACTAATCTGATTATTAATTGGCATTTGATTACCATCTCAAAAACCCGCTCTTAAAATCTATTTTTGACTCACCTTAAATGCGGCAACGACTGTGTCATCAGTGGTACATTGGTCAAGTCATTGTTAGATAAATCCAACATTCTTAAATTTGACATATTATGTGCCAATTCCTGTGGTATCGATGGCAATTCATTATAGCCCAAACGAAATTCTCGTAAATGTTTTAAACGTATCTCGGGCACTGTACTCAGTGATACATTTTCCAAACCCAATTTTATTAAACTATTTTCCAAACCCATAAACGATTTATCCATAACTTTCAAATCACGATTATGCGATAAATCCAAAACAGCCAATTTGGGCATTGTGGCGAAGACAGCATCATCGATGCGCAATAGGTAATTGTAGGAAATGTCCAAATAACGTAATGACTGTAAGGGATTAAAGATGAAGAAAGAGAGAGAGAGAGAAATGTTATAAAAATGAACATGATCAAAATGCCGTGTGTAGAGCAGAAGAAAAGAAAAAGTTCACCCGATATTTATGTCGCTTATTGGTAGGTGGAAAGTAAGTAATACATTTTTTTTCAAAAGGTTAGCAGAGTTAGATAGTATTTAAGGTGGGAAATGAAAAGATAGATAGAATAGAAATTTAAAAGAAAGTTTTAAGGAATTATATAATTGTATATTGTAGTATTCGGTATGCCATGGAGCAAATGATGGTACATATGTATGGTAAGTAGTAAAAGGATTTATTTTACATACTCCGGGTTAGGGTTGTATATTGGATCAGGGTCAAGATTCTAAAACTTTTTCGACCTATTTAAATTCTTATCTAAGTTGTACGAAATTTATTTATCGGAAAAATTTCAATAAGCAGTTGTTACAGGGTTCATTAAATGATTCGCGCATAATAAACTAAAATTCAGAATATTTAAAGGCATTAGGGCACTCAGTTTACTGTTTTTTTACTGGTCTCAGATAAAAACTCAAACAGTAGAACTTCTAACTATTTTATACTCGTAGGTAAGGTTTCAGAAAGTAAATAGATAAGGAGATACAATCTTATTAAAAAATCAGAACAATTAAAAAGTAAAGTAATAGAAAAAACCCTCTCTATGTAAATTCCATGGCTTACCGAAACTGACAAATCACACACAACTTACTCTAAACTTATTAGATAAATCCATGCTATGTATGGTTGAAATGAAATTATTAGATAAATGTAATTCGCACAAAGTCAAGGCCGCCAAACTGGACAAAGATGATGATGGTATCTTAAGTAACATGTTATGTGAGACATCCAATCTTTAAAGTGATATAAAAGACGAAATTATGCAAACATCTTTCACTCGCTCAATCCCATTCGCACTTACTTTTCCATGCCACCATTATAAAACAAATTATCGGGTAGACCTCTCAAATGATTATGAGAAAAGTCGGCAACTCTCAGAGCTTTAACACTCTTGAAAACTTCTTGAGGTATATCGGTCAGATAGTTGTAGGACAAATAAATAAGCTTTAAATTCATTATAAAAAAACATTATTAATATATTCAACAATTTAATTAAATCAAATTTGGATTAAAAATACTGTTTTAAAACCACCTGTAAATCTCTAGTATTTTTAAAAGCATCAAAATCCAGTTCATGTATAAGATTATGAGAAATATCCAACCATTGCAAATGATTCATATTACCAAAAACATCTCGTGTAGCATTCTATGCTCACAGGAAATACGAATAGAAAAACATATTCAATTTATTAATTAAATTGTTTAATTTCCTACACTTACCATTAACGAATTATAGCCCAAATGTAGATGAGTCAATGAGCTTTCCGCTGGTCTAAAATATCCCGGATGTATAAGTGAAATATTATTGTGTGACAAATCTAAAATCTTTATATTTGAATGATACATGGAACCTGAAAAATGATAATCTACCTTGGAAATGTTGTTTTTAGAAAAGTTTTTTTTATTCATTTATATATCAACTTACCATGATCTCCTCGTACAGTCCATGATGAATTGTGCATCAAACTTTTAATTTGATTGTGACTAACGTTTACATTCAAATTTGATAAAGTACCCACCTGAAGTATTTTTACGGGACAAATTATTAATTTAGTTTATATTTTAGAAGTTATAGCATTTATACCTGATCGAAATAATCAAAATTAAAATTGGGTAAATTATTAAAAGCCATGTCCAAAACTTCCAGTTTGGGTAAATTCTGTTAGGAGAAACAAAACCAAATTTGAAGGGGATTAAAAAAAATTTAAATTATTCGATGGAAAGAAGTAATTCGGAAGCCAAATTAAAAAAAAAAAAAACAAATGAGAATTTTTATTTGAAAATGAAATTCTTAATTCGCAATGAAAAAAATCTCAATTACAATTGATCTTTTCTGAATTGAATTGAAAAAGGTGTAGTTGCGAAACAACATCTTGAACAAGTTGAAAATTTTTCAAAAATTTAGAAGTTTGTCTAAATTGAGCAAGTTGAAAATTTTTCAAAAATTTAGTTTGTTAAAAACTTTAAGTTTATTAAAAACTTTGAACATGTATATTTGTCAGTGTAATAACTTTAAAAATATTTGCTCAAAATGGGGTAATTTAATAGAAAAAGAGGAATCGGTCTTCAAACCTAAATCGACTTTGTGTTATTTACAATAAAATAATTCTAAACTACAGTTTTTTTTAATATAACGGCATTAATAAAATCAGTTCAAATCTAACGGTAATATTCTAACATCGCTGTCAGATAGATAAGTAATATTAAAGACGTTTTACTCTTACATTACAGACACTGGAGTCTAACAAATTACAGCTGTTTAGCTGTACACCAACAATTTAATTTATCGCAATATAAACAAGAGAAGAAAAAAAACACCGCATAGGAAAATTATAATAAATTAAAGAAAAAATTATACATGCAATTAACGTATACACAAAATGGAAACTATTAGTCCTTATGTTGAGGATTTTCGAGAAATCAAAATCTGTCGTCTTTGCGGCAGTAATAGTAACGAAAATGTTGATATTTTTACCAGTAAGCCCATCTCCTCGAGAAGTGATGATTTATTAACGAAAATTTTAACAGTCTATCCATTAGTGGTAAGTCATATTTTTTTGGCGTTTGTGTAGAAGTAGATCTATTTATTATTATTTTGTAAAATTTTCCCGAAATAGTTGTATAAAAATGATCCATTGCCCCAGCATATTTGTCCAAAATGCATTGGCAACGTCAGCACAACATACCAAGACATACAACAAGTGTTGAGGCAACAAAATAAATGGATGAACTTAACAAAAGCTGTACAACCAGAACATAAGTATTTTCGTATACTTGATATGGTAGAGGTAAGTATAGAATCTATACTATAGTTATATGTTTGTATGTATGTATGATTTTCTCACTGAAGTTGAACTGATTCGTGTATATATAACATAATGATAAGCGAGAACGAAAATAAAGATATAGTTTTATGAACTGAAATTATCAGTATGAATATAATTAGTATAATGGCAAACAATTTTAAATATAAAAAAAATTCTATATTTTTTGCAGTCTTTCCAAAACATTTCATTTCTTGATCGATAAAAAATTATTTCAAAACAAATGTTTGCCGGGCACATTAATATGTTATACACTGAACACTATGTTATACTTTAAAAAATGATAAAGTACTCTGTTGTTACTTAACATTTGCTGTTAAATAATCTAATATTTTAACTATTAACATTACACAGTGTTATAGAAAACAGAGTTAGTTACATATATCTGTGATTTCTAATTTATAACAATTTATATGGATCTTTTCAAAACATCTTATGTCTTGATTGATAAAAAATTATATCAAAACAAATGTTTGCGGGACACAATTGATAGTTAAATTTATGTTAATGCTTTAAAAAATGTTAAAGAATTCTGTTGTTAGTAAACATTTGCTGTTAAATAATCTAATATTTTAGCTATTAACATTACACATTGGTGTAGAAAATAGAGGAAATTAAATCTGTAACTTCTAATCGGTTAGTCCTATTTTAATGAAACATGTGAAAAATACCAGGTAGACAAGTGTACATTTTAAAAAACACTTTTCAACAAATATAATACCCTAAAATTGTTTTTAAAACTATGTTGAGTTTTTTAAATAATTTTTAAATATTACACGATTACCATGTTAAACTGTTAAAATAATAACATTCTCCAAAAAAACTTTTTATTTTGATTTAGAATTCCTCTAAAACCACAAAAGAATCCATTAAAACATCATATAATATTGACATAAATAACTTACCACTAACCAAAATAATAATAAGTCCATCGAAAGAAATACCAATTCCAAACGCAATCAATACAAGCAATAAAATAAACATTAACGAAAATGTTGTTAAAAATATACAAACTAAATTGGAATCGAATGGTTTTACTATAAAACGTATAAAAGTTCCAACCACAACAACCGAAGTTAAACAAGACTTAAACACAACCGGAGTATCAATAGATTTAACCGAAAACTCTGTAGAAACAGGTGCCAACATTGTAACTTGTAATTATTGTAAACAGAAATTTTCCAATATGAAAATATTAGCACAACATCAATTGATACATTTAAAAGTGAGTGTGAATAAAGTTTTCCAAAAACATTTGTTACCCAAGCAATCAAGGCGTGGACGTCTAATTACCATCAACGATAACAAATGTATACGTTGTCTTAATTGTTGGCGTATATTTAAGGATAACAAGGATATATTGCAGCACTGGTCTGGAGGTGAATGTGAATTCTATTGCTTGGTATGCGGCAAAGAGTTTCCCCATTCGCCGAAAATGTTGAGAGAACATGTAACCACAGTTCATGATATAAGTTATCGCAGTGTTGCACGTGGTTATATGGCTTGTCAAACGGCACCCATTAAGCCTATGGAATTTCCAGTACCAACATTTAAATATGCCAACATGTATCCAATGACCACAAAACTAAAAAGTAGAACTTATAAAAAGCCTCCACCAAAAGTAAGTAAACGTTTAATTTGATCCATAACATCCCAACAAAACTACTTAATAAGCTATTTCCTTTTCAGTCATGCACAAAAAATGATGACGGTACCATTACTTGCAAAATTTGCTACAAAGTATTCGATAATTTTCGATCCAGTAATTCGCATATGCGCAAACATAAACCACCCATTCGTTATGGCGAACCCATTATTACACAAGCTATACCTATGGATAATTATAACACACGAGATGAATACATGACTCAGCCTTCTACTAGTCATTTTCGTTATGTCAACTCTAATCCATCTTCTTCAGCAACTACAAATGTCTTACATATGAAATTTCCAAGGCCAGCTTATCGTGTCATTATGAAAAATGGTCCTCTACGTGGCATCAAAACGAAGATTGTACAAAAACGTCATGATTTTCTAACAAATTATCCACACAATGACCCCCCATCAACTCAGAGATCTATGACCTCAACATCTGATCCAAGTGAAGATGAGAATATGATTGTTCCCGAAGTATTAATGCCCGCCTTTAAGTCCGAACATATTACAGATAATTACAACCATAATAAGAATCTTGATGGTTTACAATATAATGATTATACAAATTCACGTTTGGGGCCAACCATAAAATCAGAACCTCTGGATAATTCGGAATATGCAGAGACACAAGAACCTCGCCAGTGTTTTATATGTAATGAAAATTTTTCCAACACTCGAGAATATGAATTACATGCAATGTTTGTTCATAATATAAATTAATTTTAATTTAAGCTATACATATCCATTTGAGTTTGCGTGTTAATCATTTAAAATGATTATTTAAAACAAAAATCATGTTAATACATACATCTTATTATGTAATTTAAATTTTGTTTTTATGCAATTTCATAAATGTATAAAACAAGAAGCTTGAGATTTTCCTATATGTACATGCAATAGTATTTATAATTGCATTTAGTATTATTCATTTTTTTACTGGCATACATATTTACATAAAATTCATCATGGAATACATTTTAATTAGATTTTAAATATTAGTAATATTTTTTGTAATTAATAATTGAATATTAAGTATTTACTTTTTACATAAATAAAATGAAATTCATTATTCCCTTATTTAATCCACCTGAAGGTTTGTATGGACATTATAATGTACAATATACATATGTACATAATTCAAAAGCCGACTTGTAAAAAAAAGCCACTCAATTTTATCATAACAGATTTTATAAAAAAGAGTATCTTCGAAACCCAATATGGTCAAAAACGTTTTTTTATCTTCATGACACGATATCTGAAAGTTTTCTATAAAATATTCTATTTATAGAAAACTTTCGATAAAATTTTCTCTTTATAGAATAATTTCAATAAAATTTTCTCTTTATACAAAACTTTCGATAAAATTTTCTCTTTATAGAAAACATTCGATAAAATTGTCTCTTTATAGAAAATTTTTGCTGTGAAATATCAATACTTAGGCCTTTGTATGCTTTATATTACAAATAGATGTATGCTTTATATTATTATAGAAAATTTTCAATAAAATTTACTCTTTATAGAAAATTTTCAATAAAATTTTCTCTTTACAGAAAATTTTCGATAAAATTTTCTCTTTATAGAAAATTTTCGATAAAATTTTCTCTTTATAGAAAATTTTCGATAAAATTTTCTCTTTATAGAAAATTTTCGATAAAATTTTCTCTTTATAGAAAATTTTCTCTTTATAGAAAATTTTCGATAAAATTTTCTCTTTATAGAAAATTTTCTCTTTATAGAAAATTTTAGATAAAATTTTCTCTTTATAGAAAATTTTAGATAAAATTTTCTCTTTATAGAAAATTTTCGATAAAATTTTCTCTTTATAGAAAATTTTCGATAAAATTTTCTCTTTATAGAAAATTTTCGATAAAATTTTCTCTTTATAGAAAATTTTCGATAAAATTATCTCTTTATAGAAAATTTTCGATAAAATTATCTCTTTATAGAAAATTTTCGATAAAATTTTCTCTTTATAGAAAATTTTCGATAAAATTTTCTCTTTATAGAAAATTTTAGATAAAATTTTCTCTTTATAGAAAATTTTCGATAAAATTTTCTCTTTATAGAAAATTTTCGATAAAATTTTCTCTTTATAGAAAATTTTCGATAAAATTTTCTCTTTATAGAAAATTTTCGATAAAATTTTCTCTTTATAGAAAATTTTCGATAAAATTTTCTCTTTATAGAAAATTTTCGATAAAATTTTCTCTTTATAGAAAATTTTCGATAAAATTTTCTCTTTATAGAAAATTTTCGATAAAATTTTCTCTTTATAGAAAATTTTCGATAAAATTTTCTCTTTATAGAAAATTTTCGATAAAATTTTCTCTTTATAGAAAATTTTCGATAAAATTTTCTCTTTATAGAAAATTTTCGATAAAATTTTCTCTTTATAGAAAATTTTCGATAAAATTTTCTCTTTATAGAAAATTTTCGATAAAATTTTCTCTTTATAGAAAATTTTCGATAAAATTTTCTCTTTATAGAAAATTTTCGATAAAATTTTCTCTTTATAGAAAATTTTCGATAAAATTTTCTTTTTATAGAAAATTTTCGATAAAATTTTCTTTTTATAGAAAATTTTCGATAAAATTTTCTTTTTATAGAAAATTTTCGATAAAATTTTCTTTTTATAGAAAATTTTCGATAAAATTTTCTTTTTATAGAAAATTTTCGATAAAATTTTCTTTTTATAGAAAATTTTCGATAAAATTTTCTTTTTATAGAAAATTTTCGATAAAATTTTCTCTTTATAGAAAATTTTCGACAAAATTTTCTCTTTATAGAAAATTTTCGATAAAATTTTCACTTTATAGAAAATTTTCGATAAAATTTTCTCTTTATAGAAAATTTTCGATAAAATTTTCTCTTTATAGAAAATTTTCGATAAAATTTTCTCTTTATAGAAAATTTTCGATAAAATTTTCTCTTTATAGAAAATTTTCGATAAAATTTTCTCTTTATAGAAAATTTTCGATAAAATTTTCTCTTTATAGAAAATTTTCGATAAAATTCTCTCTTTATAGAAAATTTTCGATAAAATTATCTCTTTATAGAAAATTTTCGATAAATTATCTCTTTATAGAAAATTTTCGATAAATTATCTCTTTATAGAAAATTTTCGATAAATTATCTCTTTATAGAAAATTTTCAATAAATTATCTCTTTATAGAAAATTTTCGATATATTATCTCTTTATAGAAAATTTTCGATAAAATTATGTCTTTATAGAAAATTTTCGATAAAATTATGTCTTTATAGAAAATTTTCGATAAAATTATGTCTTTATAGAAAATTTTCGATAAAATTATGTCTTTATAGAAAATTTTCGATAAAATTATCTCTTTATAGAAAATTTTCGATAAAATTATCTCTTTATAGAAAATTTTCGATAAAATTATCTCTTTATAGAAAATTTTCGATAAAATTATCTCTTTATAGAAAATTTTCGACAAAATTTTCTCTTTATAGAAAATTTTCGACAAAATTTTCTCTTTATAGAAAATTTTCGACAAAATAAAATATTCTCTGTATTGAAAATTTTCGATAAAAGACTTTAAATTACTTTAAATAAAATAAAAAGGATGTAATTTTTTCGAAACCCATGTGAACATTTGAACTTACCTGAAACGATTCTTCTGCTAAGTTATTAAGTTTATTGCCACGTAAACTTAAATGCTCCAATTCATCCAAATTCATAAAGGCACGACGTTCTATTTTCTCGATTTTATTATCATCCAAATGTAATTTTCTTAAAGCCTGCAAAAATTCATATTAAAATATTGTATTAAGAACACACCAAAAGAAAACTTACCTCTAGATCGAAAAAGGTATGCTGGGAAACTTGTGCTAAATGATTAAAACGTAAGGAAATCTCTTCTAATTTCGAATGTATATCACCCTGTTAAACAAAGAAGCGAAACAAGACTTTAAAACAACGAAAAAAAAAACTTTCTCTAAATACTGTGTAACATGAATAATGAAGGATTCGATTATGAATTTTAAAACAAAGATTTCAAAAATATGTATATTTTTTTAAGTAAACAATACCTCGTTTTCATTTTGTTACTCAGTATTATTACATTTTGTCTTAAATACCTGGAATGTCCCTTTCATAACTTGTTCAATACGATTATCATGTAACTCCAATAGTCTTAAATTCTTTAGAAAATGAAAACTAGTATCACTCATACTTTGTATTTTATTATTACTCATATCCAGTTCCTGTAAAGAGGTCAAATGACGCAAAGGTTCCGAAGGCAGTGCTGTACCCGAAAAGCCATGTGCAATTTTTAAGGAAATCAAAGAGTGACCAATCTGCAATTGTAAAAATTTCATATATATATTTATGCTTATACTTCTAGTGTTCAAACCAACCTCATCAAAAGCATCATTTTCAATACTCGATATTGAGTTCTCACTAAAATCGATACGCTTTAATCCTCTTACATGTTTGAAAGCATGCGCTTGTATGTTCGATAATTGTGCACGTGTTATTTGCAAATCTTCCAATTCTACACCAAAATCCTTAAAGTCGTCGGGTCCTATAGAAGTTGAACTCATACGTGACATGGATAAAGAACGCATATTCCTCATTCTGGTCATACTTTTTACAAATGAATAAAAATACTTTTTTTGATGTAAAAAATGTCAAATTTTTAACTTACTTGCGCAGTGTTTGTAAATTAGTTGGATCATTTTGATCACCACTTAAATCCAATTTGAGCAGGGTATATTGCATAGCATTAAATGTTTCAGTGGGTTGTTCAATTTTGATTTTATTATCGCGCATACTTATGACTCTGAAAATTAAGTTATAAAATGAAAATAATTTGAAATAGTGATGCTGATTTTAAAGTTCTGTCTAAGGGAGAGAACATTTGTATATAATATAATTTCTTTTAATTTTATAAATTATCTAAAGACTGAAAATAATTTATTTATATAAAATTTTAAATGTTAAATCTATCAGTATATATATTTGAGAGTGGTGTTTTGAGTTAGCAATTAAATGCCAATTAATATTCAGATTAGTTAATCCAATAAAAATAACGTTAATCTAATATTAATTTTTTACATCAGCTGTTTACACTTTTGCATTTCTTGCTCAAGTTTAAACCCCCTCCATGGGGCGCTTAAACTAGTAAGCAAACTGTGTACTCAAAAGCAGGGTTAATTTTAATTAAATCGCTAATCGTTCACCAAAAGATTAGCTCTTAGTCAATTGGCTGGTCTATAGGCTAGTTAATATACTGGACGGTCCATTTCCTCTCTTTAAGCTATAGTATAGAGTAGTGTATAAACTACCACATTGAATAGACTAGTCTGTTGACTAGACAATAGAATAATCTATAGACTAGACTACTCTACAGATTAGACATTAGAGAAGTCGATTAAAAATATCTCTCCCACTCTTTCATTTATGATAAGAGAATTTTATACTCAGGATATTCGAATTTTTAGAACAAATTGTAGTAGATTTCTGTTTGTAGTTATAAAATATTTTCCATTTTCCCCATATTAATAAAGTCCGTTAAATTATAAATGATTCATAATAACTGAAGTATTTGTTTCAATCAATTTACAATTCATTGAAATACACACAGACATTTTTACATACAATCTGCTGCAAGACATTTGTCTGTAAATCTATAAATAAGGTCGTGCACTTCTAGACCCACTTAAGGAAGCCATACAAAATAATATTGGAAAACCAAATAATAAAATTGAAAAAAAAAATCCACGAAGAATATAGTATTTCCTACATATAATGTATTCAAGTAAAGCACTATTGTTTTCAGCAAATATTAACATGTCTCGCGAACATTTGATGACAACAATCGGCTTAACAGAATAAAAATCTATATATTTGTCTGTAAGTATATAGTATACAATACAATATTGCAATATTTGCTACTAAATAATATGTGGCGCCCATTGATAACAAGTATAAATACTTGTAAATATGTGAAAATATTATACCCGACTTAATCTTCTATACATTTCAATACGTATTTAAAGATATTTTTAAGTACATTCCATTACTATTAAAAATGAACTCCCACTACAGTTAATAAGTAACTGTTATTGACATAAAGGATATAAGCTTATTTTCAAAGCATTTTAAAAGTTCAATAATTTGCTAAGGATTAAAATTACCAATTGTCAGCATATCTGTTAAATACTTACCTTAAAACGTCGAATTTATTGAAAAGTTTATGGTGCAGTTGAGTCAAATTATTTCCAGATATATCCAATATTTGTAGACTATTTACTAAGCTATCAAAGGCCATCGGATATATATGAGTTAGGCCACAATAACGCATATAAATTTCGCGTATTTTTGCAGATTTAAAAGCATCATCCTAAAAAAGAAATTTCATTAGAGGTTAAAATTATGTTTAGATTGAGAATCCTGTGCACTAAAAATTATTTTTTTCCAAATTTGGCCCGATATTTACAAAAACAAACCGCAAACTTTTTAGCCGTTTCGATTCTGCCCCAGTGCGTAACAAATAATTACTTAATAGTAAATTACTACAGTGTCTCTCATAAGTATTCGAATTTAGGTAAACTATGAAAAGAAACCAAATTTAATAATATATTTTGTGTGGAAAATAAATAAATTAATTTGTTATATTGTCTAGATAGTCCTTATGTTTGATATCACGCTTTTTAAAACTTGAAAAATTTGCCTTGACTTAAATTAATTGTGCTTTTTTAAAAAAAGTCCATGAAATTGCCTCACAAAAGTATGCGAATTTTTCCTGTATTTCATATTTGATCATATTATACGATACACAAATTTTAGAATCGCATGGTTTTATGCTTAATATTGTTTTAAGGGGTTACTATCAACCGCATGGATATATTTTTGACCCATTTGGTCCACAATTTTGAGGGATTTGTACCCTCTTTTCATGTAATATCATTAAAATGGCGATTTTTGGCTATATTTGTAATGTTTTCACCCTTTTTCCAGAGATAAAACCAAAATTTAATATTGGAATGTAATAGAACCCATAGGATATCTAAAAATAATATTTTTTGTTAAAGGGTCCATACTTAATCGTTCCAAGATGTATTTTTGGTATCGTTTTTCAGTTTCTAATTGAATTATCTGGATCATAAGTCCCTTTTCGTACCTCTAGGGACCATATTTTCCGACAAAGTTGTCTAGTGTATATTCATGTACATATTGGCACTAATGTATTTTAAATTTTCAATATATTATAGCGGTATACAACCCCAAATCATGCCTTAACAAAACGTCATCCTATATAGTAGATTTCAGTTTTTACTACTCGTAACTTTCACGCTTATGTTGCCCGTTACAATAACACTGTAAGTTCTAAATTTTGGTTTTAATTTGATCATAGTAAATAATATTTAAACACATATCAACATTTTTGATGTGATCATAATGATATCGTGCCATGCAGCATGGAGGCCATTGGTATATAAAAATAATGATTTTACTATTTTGAATGGTGCTTCTTCGAGGCATGTTTTGGAGTTGTACACTTCCACAACACATTGAAAACTTAAAATGTATAAAAGCTGATATCTAAAAGAATATATACCAGAAAACTTTCCCCGAAAATAGTTGATCCTAGTATTATAAAAATGGACTTAAGTTCCAATATATTGAATTAGCGACAGAAGAATGATCCGAATAATTTATCTTGGAACGTTTAAATACAGATTCTTGTAACAAAAATATTATTTTTAGATACCCCAAGGGGTCTTTTAAGTCCCAATATCAAATTTTTGTTTTATCTCTGGAAAAAAGGATACAAATTTACAATTATGGCAAAAAATCGCCATTTTAATGATATTACATGAAAAGAGGATACAAATTCCCCAAAATTGTGGACCAAATGGGCCAAAAATATACCCTTTCCGTGGATAGTAACCCCTTAAAACAATATTACGCATAAAAACCATTCGATTCTAAAATTTGTGTTGCGTTTAATATGATCAAATATGAAATACAGGAAAAATTCGTATACTTTTGTGAGGCAATTTCATGGACTTTTTTTAAAAAAGCACAATTAATTTAAGTCAATGCAAATTTTTCAAGTTTTAAAAAGCGTGATATCAAACATAAGGACTATCTAGACAATATAACAAATTAATTTATTTATTTTGCACACAAAATATATTATTAAATTTGGTTTCTTTTTATAGTTTACCCAAATTCGAATAATTATGAGAGACACTGTATATAACTATTAGTAATAATTGAATTTAATCCTCAATATAATGTTAATCTATAATGTGATTCGATTTTAACTTAATTTTCTTAAAATTTCTTTTAACAACTTTTAATACATTCACTTACCTTCATTGTATGTATGGGATTTCCATCCAAAAATGTTCGATTAACAATATCGAAGTATTTAAATGAATTTGGTGGCAACATACTAATATTATTATATTCCAAATGTAAATTGTCCAAATTTAGCTTTGTGGTCGATGGTATATCATATGTTTCATTACCACTCATAGACCAAATAACATTGTGCGATATATCCAGCGTACGTAAACTTTTCAATGGTCCCAGAGCATCATATGGTATTTCCGAAAGTATATTGTCCGTTAATAATAGTTTCATTAGTCTCGGCATACCATCCACAAAGACATTAGGATCAATTTCAAATAAATTGTTGCCACTCAAATCCAACGTTTCCAATATGAGAAGACCTGAAAAACTGTGAGCCTGTAATGTTGAAATGCAGTTATCGCGCAATATGAGTGTCTGTAATGAGTCTTCGAGACCGCGAAAGGAATCATGTTGTATGTGTGTTATGTGATTATGACCCAAATCTAAATGTCTGAGTTTTTGTAAGTGGCGAAATGATTTCGATGGTATTTCAACTAAATCATTTTGTGGCAGTATAAGTTCCCACAAGGATCGTTCTAGACCGGTAAAAGCATCATCTGGTATCTCAGTTAAATGGTTCCCCGATATTTTAAGACGGTACATGCCTAAAATGTTTTACAATAAAAGTAACATAAAAGCATTTAGCTACTTCTTATGCTAACCTGTTGATTGTAAAAAATATGGCTCTATTTCTCGTAATCCAGTATTTTCCATGTGCAGCATGAAAACCTTTTTTTTTTTTTTAATAGTTAAACATTTGTAGGTTTTACTTTTAAAACTATGATTATTTGTCAGCTTACCTTTGATTGGTTTACCATTCTTGGTAATGCTGGAAAGGGCACGTTTTTACAATAAACAACACCCAGATCGGATGATGATTTTGAGCACGTACAAAAGGAATTATATGTACATGGTGGATATCTCATCTCTTCCAGTTCACGATGATTATAAAGTGATGCTCGCGCCAGAGACATCCATATCATTATAAGCAGTGTTATGATTAGAAAGGCATAACCAAATTTGAAGAAAAACTCCAGACCCTTAAAAAATGCCAATAATATGTATATATTGCTATGGGTCATGACTTTAGAAATAAATAAGAGTCTTGTAATACTGTAAACATCTTTATATTCTTGAGCTGTTAAAACATTTTAAATAATGCAAAAATAAAAAATAATTTGGAAGCTATTGAGGATTTAAAATCTTACCGAAATCATGGAATCTATTCATTTTTAAAACTATATATTTGGAGTCCTCTAAATTGATAACCGTTTAGAATTTAGTTTCCTACATTATGAACTAATTACAAACAGTAGTCACGATGCTGTAGTTAACTTCAATCCGAATATTCTGGGAAGTAAATTTTTACTGATTTTCTGCAAAAGCGATTATGTTTATGGAGAGTAGAGTCAATTATAAACCAAACCTTATTAAAATCTTGTTTATACTGTATTTTAAGCTCTGAACATTAGTTATTGTAAAAAACTTTCCATGTAATACCAAAACTAATCCTAGATCGTTGCAGACGAATATAATTATGTAGATATATATTTTCGTGGATCTAAGTACAATATTTCGATATATTACAAACGGAATAAATCAAATCAACTCTCAAAACTCCCTAGTCCTTACTAAATAAAAAGCAAGAAGTAGAAACGAAATTACTTAAACTCAAACAACCAAAAAAGGATTATAAGCAATTCATTTCAAATCCTTTGTATCCTTAAATATCCTTGATTAGTTTAGACATTTTCATTTTAAATACTTGTAACATGAAACCGTTAATTTGTTTACAATACTAATCCTCTGCCATTTAGTTATGTGTTTATACATTATCCTTTCGACTCCATTCCATTAGGTTTAAACACCAAAAGAAAACCATAAAGAAACCTTACAGATTGTATTTGCAATGGATTTATAATCAATGTAACTTGCACAAAATACATATTTACGCTCTATTTAAAGTTTGCACTTTTATGATTTCAAATTCAGATTTAAAATTGTTTAAATAATTTTAAATTAGAAACAGCAATTTTTCAAACATTTTTTGAGGATTTAATTTAAATTGCAAGCACTTATTTATATTTGCGAAAAGATTTAATTTTTTAAATAATAATTTGATTTGTAATACACACCATTTTTTATAATATTTGTTAATTGGATTAATTTACACTATACTATACACAGAAATGTAAATATTTATTGTACTTATTTCATTATTTGTTTCGAAAAATATTGAGATTTTTTTTAAATATCCTTTTTTTAAATTTCAATATATCCTTAGATCCTTTTTTGTAGTTTTTCTTTTTTTTATATTTTTTTTTATTAACTTATTATTCCGCTATTGTGCTAAGACACGTCCGAACCTTAGCACATGTAAGGTGTATCTGAATAGAATTTTTAAAAATTTGAACTCAAATAAACCGAGAAATGTTTAATCGCAGCTAATTGGATTGTACTATATTTCAATGAACTAGGTGTTCGAAACTAGATTATAGACTCTAGTCTTCCTCAAACATTTATTTGCTTTTTAGTTTTTTCTTCGCATTTCCGTTTTGGATTTACCGCCAGAGTTGACTAACCCTTTAAGAGCGCATGCTTTAAATTTGTCACTCCCAGGCGCATGTCCAGTTATTATTGTTTAGAATGATGGTATCAAAACAAATCATTACGAACTGATAATGACAATGTAAATAAATCAAGTTCGATGTGAATGTACGCGAATTGTATAAATCTCAACAAAAAGTTTTGTTTGGAAAGGAAGGCTATTAATGACTATTTGTTTATGTTTGTTTATTTACATACTTTTTATTTTCCTTCGTATATTTTCCGCATATAAACAAAATTGCAAAAATATTTTAATACTTTTTTTTTTTTGAAATATATTTATAATGGTTGGTTGTAAACGTGGTAGTTCACTGCCCGCGAAAAGTCAAGTAGAGTCGAAGAGACTTCGTTTTGACCGGACCACTTCACTCGTCATATTATTAGATCCAGACTGCAGCCGTGAGAAATCTCAAGATATCGTAAAGCATAGACCCAGATATCTCACCTAGGTTAGATATGAAGTAACAGCCAAGAAAACAGTTTCTTTTAACGGCTAGAGCAGGGCATTCACATAGAAGATGGGAGACCGTTTCTTCCATTTCCCTGTCTTTGCAACTGCGACAGTGTTCATTGAAGGGGAGCCCAATATTTGTAGTACAAAGCTACTTCTATATTCCTAAGATTTGTAAATAAATTTTGAATAGTGTACAACAGTATAGCTGCTAAATTATAATAGTTATTGACCTAATTATTTTTCTGTTTTATTCTCTAATCTATTGTCCATAAATACCCATAAAATCTCCCAAACATTAAAAATTTTTTTTAATAATGTTTGAAAAAACGGAAATTGAAATTTTGAAACAGCTGTTTATGAAGAAAAATCTCTTATTCGAGTAAATTATAAATACATACAGTGAATCAATTAAGTAATTTGCCTATGTAAAATTTTATAAATTTTAAGAAAAAACTTTATCTGAACAATTATTTTTAGCAAAATAAAGCAATTTGCTTGTTGTATTTTTTAAAGAATATCTTATATTTTAATTTTCTACCATAAAAAGTAAAATCGTTATATTAATTAACGAGATTTTTGATAAAATGTGAACGTATTGTTAATTTTTAAGGTCAATAAAGTATTTTGCTTTTTTAGGTTTTTTGTTAATTTTTTTAATATTGCTGCATTATTTTATAAAATTTAATATTTTTATTACTCCTATATATTGGAATAACATTTTTTAGATATTTTAGTAGTGGAACGACTAAGTTTGGACATTTCTTAACCGATTTATTATCCTATATACCTATAAGAATTTTTCAATATCTGACTTAACATGAAATCTATCGTTTCTTTGATTTAATTTCGAAAATAATAAGTAATTTTGAATTGGATACATGATATATTAGGAAATCAATGGATTTGGACCTAGAAAAAAATATTAGTGGAGTATAAATCCATAGATTATAACAAAAATAATCTGGGTTTTTGGTCATTTTGTATTGATAAACAAAAACTACATTACGGAAACCCCATCTATTTGGGGAATACTGTGTGAATTTTATTTAGAATTGTATAATATTGATTCTTATTCAATAAAGCTAACACTAAGTACTATCCTAGCCACTCTAAGTATGGGGATATCACCGTATATCACTATAGAACTATTACATGCTAGAATTTTGATACTCTACCTCATATTTTGAATACATTATTTTATGAATAAAATACAGTAGGCGTAGATGGATTTGGATAGTTATTCTTGATTTGGGTTCTAACTATATATAAGTGTATGTATTAGCTGAAAAATATTGCTTTTGTGGATCTTAGGTGATGAGAAGCGCCTCTATTTGTAAATACCTAAATTAAGTATTTTTCCCGTACCACACGATAGTTCGCTTTATATTGTTTCCAAGCAACCTAAGGTCTGTTTAGAGGTCTAAATTTAAACATAGTGTTCTTTTAAGTTCGTATACGGACTTTGGAGAAGATAAATGAGGACTTCAATGGTTTTTGCTTGGATACAAGTCGCTCTCTTTTGGCAGTTAAAGATTTTGAAAGACAACTCAGTCCGTTTTTTTTAATAATTCTTTGTGTTAATTCATCAATTTCTATATTTTATATTTTTTTAATGATTGATTAAACATCTCATAATTGAATTCCATTTATACTTGCTCTAAAAATCTAAACTAATTTTTTATATTTGAATTGCCTCATTATTTCCCTTTAAACATTTTTAACGCAAATAACTACACAGTTTCACACAATAAGGATATGATTTTTGAAAATTACGATTGAAAAATACTTAACACGTGTCCTTTTAACAATAAAACAATAAATTTCAAAAAGCAATTAAAAAATAATTTGAAAAAACCCAACGAAATTAACTGGAAATTTCAATATGCAAAATACTTTATTGACGTGCAAATTCTGATGAAAAATAATAAAATGCAACAACAAATGCACCAAAATTTTTATTTTAATATTTTTTTCTTGGTTTTCCATTCTACACAATCTCTATTTTCAATTGGAAAACATAAATTTACTTTTTACCTGTTTTTTTTAATTTTATTTATGAACAAGAAACAAAATTCTCTTAAAAAAAGGTAGGCAAAAAACTTAGTTGATTCACTGTATGTATATTTTAAGTAATGAAATTATTTTTTTCGAATATTTAACAAAATAAGTTAATAAGTTTCTTGAGCTAAAATCGATAAACAAGAATGGTTATAAATATTCCAATTTGTAACCAAATATACTTACTTTTTACTAAAGAAAAAAAAGATTCCATATCCCCAGATAAATTAGAGAGATTACATTGTACATATGTATGTATTTATAATCCCTGAAAACAAGACCTTTAAAATGAGAAATCTTTAAATGTATTTTTATGTTTCTTTATTTTAAGATATTTCTTTTAAATGTAAAACGAACAAAATGAATAAAATTAAATAAAATCAAAACAAGACTTAACTTTTTGTAAGTCTTCGTTAACAAATTGTTGTTTCTTTTGTGACATTTATGCATGTATGTATGTATGTAAGTATACTTTCTGCCGTTACAATTCGTGTTAAAACATTAAGAATAAACATGCGTAATTGAACTGATTACAAGACTACTAAAACCACTTAACATTGTTAAAATGTATTCAGTGATTTTGTATTGTTGTTATTTTACGATATAACCAACTATAATAAACGTTCTCTTTACCATATTCTTTTTCTTCGGTATTAAATCCTTCAGATATATTGGGTGGACATATATTCTCCATATTGAAATAAAAAGTTGACTTGACTTCACGCAATTTATTTTTAGATTTCATTATTATGCGTCGTGAATGAGGATCCTTACCTTCTAAAATTTCACGTACATAGTGATCGGGTAATTGTATTTCCATTTCATCGGTCAATGAATCACTGATCATATCAACAATACGAGGTGGTTTACGCAGCAATTGATCGCAGACTTCATAGAAGACACTGCTCAAATTCAAATGTATATGAATCATGAGTAAATGTTCTAGAGTACAGTGTATTTGCAATAGTTTTGCCAGAGTTTTAGCACTTTCATGTTCGTCAAAATTACTATTCTTGAAACAGATTATATCGTTTTTCATTTTATTTCCAGTACTTTTGACATCATTGTGCAGCAATGTTTTACGCATAACAGCATTGTCTTGCATAACAGCATTGCGTAGGGATTTACGTACATTCGGTACAACAGCATCATTTTCTTTGTTATCGTGAGCAATGCTGAAAATAAGATTTGTATAGAAATATTAAATTTGTTTATTATCTTTCAATCATAAAGAATACTTTCGTTTACCTTTTATTTTTTAAATCATTAGCACTACAGATTTTGCTCTCAACAAATATATATTCATAGTCTTTATATAATTTTTCCAAACCGATTTCCAATAATAATTCTAATGCCTCCGAACCCGAAAGACAAGGTATGGCTAATCGACGATTTGCCACCTCGGTGATAATTTCCGCTAAGCGATTTTTATTTGTTGGAGTGTTCTAAAATTAAAGAAAAAAATTTTTATTTATAAAATAATTCAAATTTACAACATTTGCTTGTTGAATAAGCTAACAAAATCTACTCTTTTTTGATAAAAAATCGATTTTGTGATTAAAATTTAATTTTTCGTCGAAAATTGGAGTTTTCGATAAAATTGGAAATCTATAGAAATTCGAAATTTACTAAGGTTGAATTTTTATATTGAAAAGAAAAGTTTTCAGTAAAGTCACTTTAAAAAATATGTTTCTTACCACAATATTACAACGGGCAGCACATTGAAATAGTATTGTATAAGCCATTTTTAAATCCTTATAAGATGAGCATTCTAAAATATAATAAAGAGTAATAATATTAGAAAAATTAAAACTAAAAAGCTCAGTAGCATTTTGTATAAAATTATTGAATCAAATTAAATAGTTGATATTATTAGTTATAGATTGTAGAGGTAATAAACTTACGTTTTAAAATTTCCCACAATTTATCGGTTAAATCATTAAGACGTCTTATTTTAGCATTTTGTATAACGTCCTCAATATCACGTTTTTCTCCACTACTAGGATCTATTTCCGATATTTCAGTCATAACCTTATTAATGCTTTCACGTAGTTCCACCATATCAATACCACTAAAAAATCGATAAAAATTATTAGTTTTAAAAGTTAATTAATGTTTTGTACGCAAAAAAATCTCTAAATTGAAAATAATCCATGCCCTCCATGTAATTACATAATATATAAGAAAATTTCGTATAAAATACAACTTTTTGAAGATTTTAGAAAAGTAAGAATTTGTTTCTTTTTCGTAGATCTTAAGAAATTTTTTTTTTTACGAAAAACTTT